TGCCCAACACCTGTGGTGTGCACCAAACCCTGCAACCCTCCCACAGCCTCCCCATGTCACTTGAGAGGCCATTGGTGTATCAATGACTGAAGTAGGGAGCAAAGCAAGCCAGGCTCTGCAAATCCCCATTTGATCCCCAGCATATCAGCAGCAGGTATGGGCTGGAGCACCACAGAACCCACTGGCGGAGAGGAGAAACATGCACTCACCTGCATGAAGGTGAATTTCTCCAGCCGCTCCATGATGATGGGCAAAATAACTAGGCACAGAGAGCAAAGGTCAGCCCAGATCCCAGAACAGCTATCCTGCTAGCCAGCCTGCAGGGCTGTCCCAGCAGGACCATCCATCTGGAGGCCATGGAAGCAGCTGTGCTGGGGACTGCTGGGTGTTTGCTGCAGCAAGGACCTGACATGAGACCCCCACACATCCACCATTGGGGCAGCATGGTCTGTGATCCTCATGCTCCTGCTCTTCCTTCTGGGCTTGCAGCATGTCAAGGGTCTCAGGAGCAGAGGAGGTGCCAGACTGCAGGCTGAGGGGCTAGGGCCAGAAAGCACGAGAGAAGCATCCTTATGGGGCCAAACTGCCCCCTGTCTTCCAGGCTGTGGTTTGGCATGGAGGGGGCTGGGGAACCTCTGATAGGAATGGCTGGATGAGGAGAGCAAATGCCACCTGGAATGCAGGGCCACCCTCCCTCTTTTTCATGAGGGAAACTGAAGCAAAGAAGGGCACGGTGGTGGGTCCAGGAGAGTCCCCAGTTCAGCTGCACACCCCTGTGCCCCGCACTCACTCATGCCCGGTGCTGCCATGGTGATCCTGGAGAGCACAACCTGCGCGATGCCCTTCACTGCTGCCCTCTGCAAGCAAAACCAGCAGGTGAGCCCCGGCAGCGCCCTGCCCCAACCCACATCCCCATCCCCAGTGCCCCAACCCGCATCCCCAACCCCAGACTCACCCTGGAGCGGCCGAGCTCGTTGTTGTTCTCATCTGTCACTGTGATTCCGTTGATGATCTCCCTGAAGGGGATAGGCAGTCGTAAGTGGAGGATGGGATGGTCGGGAAAGCATAAGGACACAGCAACGGGGTAAGGGGGTGCCAGGGGAGTCCTCTACACACAGCAGCCCCAGATGCCCCCAGGGCACGGGGCTCCAGCACCCCGGGGCACCACGGTCCCCAGCCCAGCCGATGCTGCCATCTTCAGGGCACAGCTGCGAGCAGGATCTGGCCGTGCTAGGGACAGACACTGCCTGGATATACAGCTGAGCCAGGGCACAGTCCCTCACACAGTACCCGAGCTCCTTGTGCCCTGACTTGTGGGGAACCCCGAGCAGCAGACACAGGTCACCACAAGGACCCCAAATGGGGTGTGCCAGCATCAGGATATCATGGGCTAGGGTTCTCCCATGCCATGCAGGAGATCTTTGGGTTTGAGGGATCTTCCAGCACAGATTCCAGAGCAGCTATCAGCCAAAAATCCCCCTCCTGCTCTAGGTGGAGGCTGAGCCATCCCACCCAGCACCCTCCAGCACAGACACAGCACTGCAAATGCACAGACCCCAGTTCACCCCTCTCCAGCTCCCAGGAGGGGAATCCAAGGCAGGGAGGCCAGGCAGCCCAGGAGCCTGGCTGCCAGCAGCTTGCCTTTGGAGGGAGCTGGGTCCCTCAAGCGCCCCAGGCACGTGTGACACTTACTGTTGCCGCATCATGGGGATATTGACGCAGTTGGCAGCAGCCACAGCTGCAAAGGGGACCCAGCGGGCCAGCAAGGGGGGCGCTCGCTGTGGGAAACAGGCTGGCATCAGCATGGGAGAGCAGCATGTGCCCAGCTGCCCTACCTGGCCCTAGCCTGGCATACCTTGGTGTAGAGGTTGAGTCCCACTGCGGTGGCCAGGGCTGCACTGGTGGCCGTGACATAAGCCACCCCGATTTGCCTGGACAGCGATTTCAAAGAAGGGAGACAACAGAATCACCAACTCTGACTCAGCCCTGTTCCTTTGTGCCCAAGACACTGCATAGAGGGTCTTTACAAGGCATCCAGAGGTGCATCAAATAGGCACACTGCATCCTGTGGGGCCCGCTCACCTCAGGGAGATGGGGGAGGCAGCGTTGCGGTTGGTGTAGTTGACAAAGGCATTGAAGGACTGGTTCACCCACTGCCAGAAAACCACTGCAGGCACTGTCCTGTGGAGGGAAGGGATGGGAGAGCACCCGAGGGCTATCAGGGACACCTGGCCTGTGCCCGTGGCCAGGCTTGGCAGGGAGACAGCCAAGATGCCTGCAATCCACTCATCATGGTGTCTCCAAAGGGAAACTGAGGAACTGTGGCAAAGTGACAAGCCAGTGGCAGAGCTGGGAAATGATCCCAGGAGTTCTGGTTGCCCTGGGGAGCACAGGAAGGAGGGGCCCAGTCCTGCAAGGCACTTGGGCAGGGGTGGGAGACACAGCTCTCAGCAGAGTGGCAGCCATCCTCTGCTGGGCTGAGATAAGCCTTTGTCAAAGCGAGCAGCAAGGAGGGGACACATGGGGACAGAAGTGGCTCTGGGGAATGAGGGTGCCTGGGTTTCTACTGGTGTCTCAGGGATACTGGTGTGGGGCAGGAAGGGACACAGGGAGCACACTTTGGAATGCAGGGGGGTGGAGAAGGGAAAGGCAGGGAGCTGTCAGCAGGGGCTGGGGATGCTGAAGCAGCCTGGCCTAGGGGCACATTTGGTCCTCATTTCCAAAGACTGCTATGGGCTACAGACCAAGAGCAGCAGCCAAGCAGGATGTGGTTGCATTAATCATTACAGGAGCTATGGGAAGAGCTCAGCTGAGCTCAGGGTGAGGTGAGACCATTCCCAGCCATGCCAGGGGGATCTGTGATGCTTCTGCCAGGTTGGGTGCTGGGGACAGAGCCCAGAGACATTGTGCTTGACCATAGGACACAGGCAAGCACAGCAGCCCTGGGCATGCCCTGGGAACCACCCAGCCCCAGAGGAGGCAGGCTGGCCATGCTCTGGCCTTGGGGGAACTTGAGAGGGGCTGGGGGCTGTCAGGGCTGTGTCCCCAGCCTGGTGTACCCAGGAGCTCACCGATAGAACTGGAGCATGCAGCCAGTGATGGCCATGCCCCCCGGCACCTGGAAGGACATCCTGCCAATGAAGTTCATCTTCTCACCACTGTCAGGGTGGAAGGCTGAGTCGTACAGCTTCTTGGCATAGAGCAACTGCTCCTGGCTGCTTCCTGGCGGCACCAGCCCGGCCCTGCAAACCCAAAGCCCATCAGGGGAAGCTGCACAGACCCGCCAGCACCCAGCACTGCTGAGGCACAGAGCTCTGGGCACCACATGAAAGGCAGAGGAAACATCTCCTGAGAAGGATGCATGTCACAGCTTGAAGCTCCGGGGAGAAGCCTGGGAAACCCCCCCAAAACTACTTCCAACAGCTGTTACACCACAGCATACCTGCTTGAGAATGACTGCCTCCATCCCCTGCAACACTGCACAGTGGTTGGGATGGCCGTGAACCCAGGGATGGCACCTGCCCCATTTGTACCCCTGCCCCTCACCTGCAGCTCTCCACCAGGGCCTTGGCCTGGTCCAGCTCCTCCTCTGACACCAGCACTGTCCGAGGGTCGGTGATGTTGAGGAAGTGCTTCAGGCGCCCCATGAAGGTGCTCTGGTCCCAGCGTGGGGAGTCGATGTCGAAGCTAGGGGAAACTGTGGCCATCTTGGCGTAGGTCTGGGCAGGGGAAAAGGCCACTCAGTAGGATCCTGCCTTGTTTGCTCATTGAGTGCACGGCCACAGGAGCAGTCAGCTGAGTGAGAGCCATGGCAGGTTTATATTTAACAGGACAACTGGACTTTCAGCAGCCCCGAGCCCAGGAGGCCCCTGCTCTCCTGCTGTCAGCAGAACACTGCAGTCAGGACGCTCCTTCACACATGACCATGCTTGCCTGGGGTCGCCCCACTTGTGCTGCACCCCACACCCCCTCCTCAGGGTGGTATGGTGCTCCACAGCACTGCAGGGCCCAGCTCAAGCCTCCAAAGGCTGCCCTGCAGGCGCTCCTACACGGGCACTACTCTGCAGCCCCCGAGTGTGCAGACGGTGCTGTGCCCCCCACAGCACCGTCCTGCACATCCCTCTAATGCTGCTCTGCACTGCCATGGCATTGCCCTGCCTGCTCCCCGGGGTGCTGCACCACATGGCCACAGTTCACAGCACAGAGTCACAGAAAGAATTAGGCACGAAAATACTTCTGAGATCAACCTATGACCAAACACCACCACGTCAACTACAGCATGGCTAACCTAGTGCCTAACCCTAGCCAAGTGCCATGTTCAGCCTTTCCTTAAACACCTCCAAGGGACTGTAACTCCACCATCTCCCTCAGCAGTCCTTTCCAGTATCTAACCACTCTTCTATAAAGAAACACTTACTAATGTCCAACCTGAACCTCCTCTGGCACAGCTTCAGACTATATCCTCTCGTCCTGTCGCTGACTGCCTGGGAGAAGGGGCCCGCTCCCACCTAGCTACACCTCATTTCAAAGGTAGCTGTAGACAGCGATAAGGTGTCCCTGAGCCTTTTCTCCAGGTTAAACGCTCCCAGCTCCCTCAGCCATTTCTCATAAGACTTGAGCTCCAGACCCTTCATCAATTTCCCTGTCCTTCTCTGTAAGGCACGGCACAGCTCGACACACCCCCGGCTCGGCCCGGCATGGCATGGCACAGCCCCGGCACACCTCCAGCGCGGCTCGGTCACGGCTTATGTCGGCTCGGCTCGGCTCGGCTCGGCACGCTCCGTCCCGCCCCAGCCCAGCCCCGTCGCGTCCCCACGTGTCCCACCTGCGCTCCCGGGCCCCGCTCCCGCCCTCGCGCCGCTAACGGCCCCCGCGCTCCGACGCGTGGCCGCCTCCAGCCAATCACAGAGCCCCGAGCGGCCGCGCCCACCGCCTCCGGCAGGGCCGCCCCAGTACGCGTGCGCCGTTCATTCGTGGGCGGGCCCATGGCTGACCCCTCCCCCGGCGCGGGCACGTCGGCGCGCGGGTGGGTGTGACGCAGTTGCCCATGGTAACCCCGGGCCGCGCCGAGGATGGTGAGCGGGGCGGGGGCAGCGGGGCCGGGCCCGGGGCCGCCGGGGCGGGCTGAGGGCTGAGGGACGGGGCCCGCGCGGCCGGGGGCGTCTGAGGTCGCGGGTGATCCTCCCGCGGAGCGTGGGGTGATGGGGGCCGGAGGGTCTGTCGGGCCCGGCCGGGCTCGTGGCAGGCACGGGCAGGCCTTGGGCCATGAGAGGGGGGGCCGAGGCGATGGAACCAGGGGACCGAGCCAGGCTCTGCTGGGTGCTGCCGGGCAGTAGGGGAACAGGCAACGGGCAGTAGGGGAACAGGCAGCGGCAGAAACTGATGCACGGGAAACTCCACCTGAATACAAGAAGGAACTCTGCCGTGCAGGTGTCCACACTCTGGAACAGATTGGTCAGAGTTTGTGGAGTCTCCCTCAGTGGAGATATTCCAGAACCATCTGGACACGATCCTGTGCCATGTGCTCCAGGATGACTCTGCCTGGGTGGGAGGTTGGAGCAGTGACGGACTGTGGTCCCTTGCAGCCTGCCCCATGCTGTGACTGTGTGACACCGGCCTGGGGTCTGAGTGCCACCTGGACATCCAGTCAGGATGGGGGCCTGGGGCTGGGCAGGTTCAGGCACCCATACAAAGGAATGAGAACAGGGAACGTTTGGGGCCTCCAGCCATGGAAGACCCTGGTTGGGGTTGGGGCTCTGGCAGCACACAGATGTTATGGGGGACACAAAAAAGGGGGTTGAGTCCTAAAAAAGGCAACAGAACTGGTGAAGGGCCTGGAGCACAAGTTCTATGAGGAGTGGCTGAAAGAGCTGGGATTGTGTAGTCTGAAGAGGAGGAAAGTGACAGGATAGGAGGAAATAGCCTCGAGCTGTGCTAGGGGAGGCTTAGACTGGACATTAGAATGAATTTCTTTACAGAAAGGGTGATTGGACATTGTAAAGGACTGGCCAGGGAGGTGGTGGAGTCACCACCCCTGGAGGTGTTTAGGGAAAGATTGGAGAGATTGTACATGGCACTTGGTGCCACGCTCTAGTTGACGTGTAAGTATTCAGTCATAGGTTGGACTTGGTGATCTCAGAGGTCTTTTCCAGTCTAATTGATTTTGTGATTCTGTGAATCAGGTCTAGACAGGGGCTGGGAGGCTCAAGGATGCTATGGGGGGCTCTTTGTTGGGATAGAATCAGCATGCCTGGAGTTGATTCAGTCAAGGTGTGAAAGGTGTGATGGAGGGGTGGATGCTTGGGAGGGCTGGGGACCAGGATGGCAGTGACCTGAGGAGGGAAGGAGCAATGGAAGAACCTGGCAAGGATGGAAGGCAGTGCTCAAAGACTGCCTGTGAAGAGTCTGGGAGCAGCTGTGTCTCTAAAGGTGCACTGGACAACCCAGTCAAGGTGGGAGGAGGCAACCCTGAGACTTGGATCCTGTCTATAGAAATTGAGGGAGCTAGAAGAGAGCTTGCTGAGGTGGAAGGGCTGGATTTTGATACACAGCCTGAGAAGGGGCTGAAAAAAAGCTGCCAGTTGGTTGGATGGACAGTCTGGTGAGTCAGTGGGAAAACCCAGTCAGTGTTTGGCTGGCTAGGATAGTTTGCTGGGATGTTGTGTGCTCTGGAGTTTTCTGCCATGGGCTGGCACGATGAGGGACAGTCTGGGTTCAAAAGAAGAAATAAGAGTAAACTCTGGGAAAGACTGGAAGTGGAGTTTTGATGTTGATGAGAGAAAGAAAGATCCCAGGGAGAAAAGAAGTGTTGGAAGAAAGAAATAAATTATTTGAGAGGTACTAGCAGGGATTGAAGGGAAAAACTGGGTCTCTTGAGTGGAGGGCAATGCTGGGAGACTGGTGAGGGTGTAGTGCAGTCTAAATTGAGGTTGGAGGAAGGTTGGATGATGGACCAGGGTCATGCAGGTATTGGAAACAATTTGGGTTTAGATGTCAGAGTAGTTGGGGTGGGACAAGTGGGATGCTGGTAAAGTGCAGTGAGGACCAGAAGGAAGGGTTGGAGCTATGGGTGAGGGGTGGTGACAGAGCTGCCATGGATGTAGAGCCACTCATGAGGATGCTGCATGAAGAGAGAGCACAAGCAGAAGGCAATAGCAATGGGGAACAAGCTTTCCCAAGGGTAAAGCCTTATTTTGTCCAGGAGCCCTCTGGACATAAGTTGAAGGATTCATGCAAGGGAAGAGGTGTAAGCAAGAGCACCAAGGCAGCTTCTCATCTTCACTGGGTTAAGTCTGGCTGCATCCCTACCTGCTGGGTCACAGGGAAGAAGACTGAGGTAAAGCCTGTGGGATCTGCTCTATTTCAGATGGGTTGGTGATGGGGAATGTTACACCAGGCACCAAAGCCATCACAGGATGGACATCTGCTGTAAAGATGAGGGCAGCTGCCTCCAGCAGTGCAGTGCTTTGTGGGACACATTTGGCTTGCAGCTGCCAGATCTGCTCTTGTGCCTTATGATGTCCTGATAAGCTGCTGTAGTCTGGGATCTGGCTGCTCTTATCCAGGCATTTGTGTGCCGAGAGGGTGACTGGGTGTTCGCCAGTGTTCGTGTTATTTGATACAACATTTTACTGCCTCTTTGTCTATTTTCCACTTCTTGGAGTTGTTTTTTGAATTACAGCCTCTCAGGCAGGGTGGGTGGCACTTTGGGGTGCCTGGTGGGCTGGGTGTACTGGACAGAGGACTGGAGAGCAATGCACTGTCTCTCCAGATTCTCAACTTTCACTAAAACAGAATAATCATTTGTGGTAGAAACTCTGAAACAGCAGCAAATACATCCAAAGCGGCTATGGCAGCCTGGGGGTATGGGTCAGCAGTCAGAAATCATCCAGACAGCTTGATGTAACAATTTACTGCTTGTCATCTGAGCCATGGTAGCTGCCTGTGAGCACGTTCCTGCCATGTCCTGATGGCACTGGAAGAGCTAAAACTCCCCTCAACGACTGCTTGCTCCAACTCCAGCGCTGAGAGGGTTAATGCTGGGGTTTAAATTATTTCAGTGTTCATCCAAGTGAGTAAGTACAGAGGGGCAGTGTCTTCTTCTGCAGAGCATAGGAGGATTTCTCACAGCTGTGGGGCAGGGGTGGTGGAAGGTCATAGTTGGAGCACGGAGGGAAGGGTGAGCCATAAAACTGCAAAGCATGAGAGATGTGTGGAGCTGGAAGTCTTTGGCACCGCTAAGCAGCATCTGCAGTGGGCACATGGCAAGGGCGAAGGGAGGCTGCTACATGAAAGGATGTGCTGCTTTCCAAAGTTTAGGAAATGCTGTTTGAAGCAGAGCTTGTGGCTTCCTCGTCACAGTAATGCTTCCTATTGTCACTGAAATAACAATCTTTACCAAGAGACGTGGTATGTTAGTGATAGATGCTGGGGCCAGAGGATGGCCAGTGCTTTTCTAAAACCATTGATTGAAGATGACATCATTGTGTCAAAACCAGATTTGTCAAAGTGTGGCCCTGTTTTATAGTTGAGGAAACTGAGTCTAGAGTGCCTAGCTGACATAAGGCACATCTGGTGAAGAGGATAAAATAACAGCATAGCTAAATGCATAGTCAGGCATCTTTCTCCTGGTCTTGAGCTCATGTTTCTAGGAAAACCAGCATGTATGTCTTGCCTGCTCTAGGCGTACCTCATACTTAGAAATTCTTTATTTTGTCCCTTGTTCCTTGGTAGTAAGGCTCTATTTAAAATGGCCCCATTAAAATGCTTTCAAGTATTATAAGTGTCTCACTACTTTAGTTTTCAGTACAGTTCAATGTCCTGATTTTTAGTTTATTTTACTGATTGCTGAGAGGTTGATACAAGAAATCACCTGCAGATAGGAGAGTATACCAATCACTGGCTAAGACTTTGAAGTTCTGAAACCAGACAGAGACTGCTGACATTGTCCAGTGCTGAGCATTGGCTCTTCTCTGCACAGGGCAAAATACTTCTTTCAAACCTGCTGAAACCAGAGGAGTTTGATTTTAATTATGAAAAGAAGATTCGTGCTGGTATTGGTTTATGTATCAAACTGGAAAGTGCTGTGTGACCTCTTTGACAGAAAACTACATTAGTAGGTTTGAGCTGGAAAAACTCTGTAGGTGACTCGACTCCATTAAATTTTGGATTTCAATGCAGGAAAGAAAGTCTGCATTGAATGACACCATATGGTGGAGACATGCAGTAAGCAAATGATTTTTTGGGAGTTTTGCCAGAGTAAGAAGTATTGAATAAACTGAGCTCAATAGATTAATTTACTTCGGTTGTATTTCGAAAAAGACTGGATGATTTTATGACCATTAGTGACATTTGCAGTTCTGCAGCCGAAGATAAAGGTAATCAGACGTCATTCTTCAGGGCACCAGCTAATCAGTGCAGTTGTCAGAAAGGACTCCCCTCCTCCAGCTCCGTGTGTGCAGGATTGCACCCTGGATGACAAATGTAGCCTCATATATCCACTGTGCAAGGCAAGATATTTGGCTCAGCTAAGCCCCTCGTCCTTCCCTGTGTCAGCTCCTCCTGTGTGACTTTCTGAAATCATCACGTGTACCCTCTATCTTTAACTTACACTTTAAAAATGGTGAGCTGCTACCATATTGCTTAACAGAAAGCAAATAAATAAATTGGTGCCCAGAGCTGTGCTAGGTGCTGTGCCAGCAGAGCACCAAGGTGCTCCCATGCCTTGGAAATATGGTCTGTGTGGGGTGAGAGATAACCAACTGATAGAAATAAGCAGAATCCAAGACAGGTTTGAACTTGACACATTTGCTGCCTAAACCTCATCAAGGATTGTAGGTGTGGCAGAGGAGGAATTAGCAGAAGAATCATGGGCTGGTTTTATGGATATTTTGTGAAGTTTCTCCCACGGTTGTAGGAAAGTCACAGAAGTTTGAGAATAGAGCTCAGCAGTGCTGGGGAGCTGTGGGGAGACAGGAGTTGTCATCTTGATGGCAAATGTGCTTGGCTGAGATGAGTCTTGAGGATAAAGTGACTTGTGGTTGCAGTAGTGGGGAAGAGGGCATCTCTGCAGGGGTATAGAGATGGGGAAAATGTGATTGTAATGGCAGGCTGAGCTGCTGAGCTTTGTGGCTCTACTGCATCTTGGTGAAGTGAATTGATTCTACCTAAATGTCCACATCTAGTAGATAAGCAATTGGTGGTGACTGAGGGTGACTTTATTTTAAATTCATTATCTGAGCCTTGTGGCTAATAAAGTTAAACAGAATACATTTACTTCTCTTTCCTAATAAGATTCAACCGTGCTTTGCAGCAGCTTGCGGGCCACGCTTTTTATCCATGCCCCGTGTATGCAGCCCTCAGTACAAGGGAGAATTGTTCTTTCCATTGTGGCTTTATATTGCCAATCTGATACAATATTTAAACAGATTATCTCAATGCTCTGTTTGTCCCAAACCAATTTTTGCTTTGTCCTGTAAAGTGAATCTTCCTTTCAGTGGTTTCTGTGGTACAGGATGTAGTTACATGCATCAACTAGTTCAAGAGACCCATATACAGCATGAATAAACCCACAAAACCCTTAGCTAGGACTATAAATGTCACTGTATTTTTATATATGTAGGATTTTTTTTTTTGAGAGAGAATAGGATTACTACATGCAGCTATAATTGAAAGTCCTTTGATAATTTGGTGGGTATTTTAAACCTAGCAATGATATACTTTCATAAAACCACACATCCCTGTTTTCTGAAGGATGTTAATAAGATGGTTAGCTTTGCTTTCATGCTCAATGTGTTTATGAGTGCTCTTACCCATTTAGTTGCATCTTCGAATTTAATGCCCCACTCTGATTTCATAGTAATTGTCAGGAGTCTCTTTTTCTTTTTCGTATGTCCCCGCTCACTGTCTGGAAAATGCAGTCTCCTCATTGCTGACCCCATCAGTCTGTCTCCTCACGGTGCTTGCAAAGAAAACCCTCTCCACCAAGGACAAAGATGTTTTTAAACAGACCAATCTGATATAAGACATAGTTTGCTTAACCCAGAGGTGACCAAGAAGCGGATGCTGGCTGACTGTGCCCAGCCTTGAGTTGCTCTGTCTGGCTGCCCTTCTCCAGAGGCTGCACACGCTGCCATGCTGTGCTGTTCATTATCTGAGCAGCATCTGCAGTTCCCTTCTCTGTTACAGATGCCGCAGTCTGCTTAGTTTTGTGCAGCTGACACGCTGGCCTTACACTCCTGTGAGGCGTCTCTGCGGCTCCTCAGCCAGCTCACATCCACCCTGGCCTGCTCAAGACTTGTCCTGCTTCTCACCCTGGACACTCCAGTGAGCAAGTGCCACTGGCCTGGCTGCTGTGCAGTCATCCTGGGAATTCTCCCTTCTCACTGCTGGCTAAGTCCCAGCATGAGACATTTCTTACCTGCCCTGTTTCAAAAATCTGCTCCTCCTGTGTTGTTTCTGTGCATCCTCTTTGCACCACATCTTCCCATTTCATGGCTTTCTACCTGACAAATCCCATGAATAGCAAGGCATTGCTTTCTGACTCTCCTCAGCCTGTTAGTTTCAGCATTGTGTTTGCCAGCAGAGGAGTGCTTGTCCATCAGTCTGTGTGCAACAGGGGCTGCTTGTCCCACATCATGGTGGCATGCAGCAGGGAACTCTGCTGAGTTATTTTTTCCAGTCTACTAAGCTGTCAGGAAATGCCTTCTGTCTTTAATCAGTATGCTCACAAGATCAATTAAAAAAAAGTAAAAAGAAAAAAATGAGAAATGCATATGGACATGGCTTTCTTTAGTTTTAAATCTTTGCTAACTACAGGGATTCACATTTTAAATACTATTTACAAAATAGTAACAGTCATGGGAACCAATATTATTATTTGGCTCTTGATTTAAGTTGTATATACAGACCGTGCTGGCAGCTACTGAAATAAAGTCCACTTCTCTATGTTGGCTTGCTTGTCTTCCAGCCTTTTAAATCAGCTTACTTTATACCTTAGAGAATACTTTTATTTCTATATATATCTTCTCTTCTATTGGCTACCCCTGATAATCCTGTGATCAGCCATGCAGCAGTGTCACTTGAGTAGAATATGGAACGATGCTGATCGTTTTCTCATAGGCTGTCATACTAGCCCAGAAATAGCATCCATCTACAATGGGAGAAGCTCTATTAACATTTACAACTGTTCCTCTTCCCGACCCTTGAGAATTGCTCCGTGGTAGATAAGCAATACTTTGTAATACATTTCCTTGCGCTCAGTATTTTGGAGTTGAATTCTGAAATATAAAGGCACCTAATCCTGATCTGCTCTGGGATACACTGCTCTGCTCTTAGCAAGTGGAGCTGTGAATAGGATTAGCATTTCAACAGCTTCTTTTTTTAACTGTGAGCAATAAACTAAAATAATAGGGCCTGATTCAGAGCTCTCCAAAGTCGGCAGTGGTGCTTTGGCTGATGTACATTGGCTTTGGGTCAGGCCCATAAGAATGGGAAATTCAGTGTTTCCCTAGAAAGGAAGGAGGTGTGAATTTTAGAGTTCCTGGTCCTGTGGAGTCTGTCCACACTGAGCTGAAATCCACAGATTTACAAGCCAAGAAACACAACTGTAAATTTGACGGCAGGTGAAAAGAAAATGTGTTGCTAGTCATGCAGTTAAAACTTGTGCTTTTTAATGATGTCAAGGGCACTTAGGACATGCATATAAACAAGTAACCACTAGAGGTATTTTTGCTGCTGTTCCTTTTCTCTTTCCTCAGACATGTGGAAGTGCAGACCATCATCAGGGCAGAACATGGGTTGAGCACTATGGCCGGGGAGATGAGCTGTTGGGCTGGCAGGGCTTGCAGTGACTGGCTGCACTGAACACAGCCCTTGAAATTCATTAGCCATGGGCCCATGGGTGAGAGCCAGCTGTGAGCATCTGGCCCTCAGGGCCCTGCACGTGGTGTTACAGGCCTGTACACTTCAACTAAAAGCTGTTTGGGGATTTACTGTGCCTGTGCCTGTGCTGGTGCATGTACTGAGCAGGCATAGCACCCGCTACCAAGCAGATCCCATTTCTAATTCTCAGCTCTTGAGCAGGGCCTGGATTCCAAGTTTTTTACCTGCCTATCACCTACAAAATACGTGATAACTTGAGCCTGCTTATTGGGCTATTGCAGATTTGCTATTGCTTGTACAAGCTCTGAATTTCCGAACCTCAGCTTTCCACGGTGCTTTTTAGAAGCACAGCAACAGTAGCAGTCCTGCAGTTTTTTACACATACCTTTCGAACCCAGTTTTACTAAGTTCCTTCTCTCCTCCCTGTTTCTTACACATCACACACGTTTTTTGAGCTGGAGCTGGTAATTTAACAGAAACCCATTAAATTACTCTGAAATCGAAAATGCTTGCAGGGGTGGATCAGATGTCACATGCATTTGAATCTCTGAGCGTTACTAAAAGCTTTAGCATCACGACCTGTGGTGCCGAGTCCTTCCCAAAGCACTCCCACCTGGCAGCAGGGAGGTGAGCAGTCAGAAGCAGCATTTGCAGAGTGGCTGAGGTAGGGAGTGGGCAGAAGGACACTGCCAGAGACAGGGGATATGTTGCAGTGGTGACACTTGTACTGTGACGGGCAGCTCTTTATCCTGAGGACAAGTTTCTGATTGCCACGATCTGGAGGGGACTGGGAGCAACCTTCAAGGCTCAAATAGTCCTTGGCTCTCAGCAGGAATGTTTAGAGGGTTTAGTTCCTCATAGCAACAAAGCACTTCAAGACATTTAACTGATTACACCCTTGCAGGTCGACAAGAAGCATTTTCTCCATTTTGCTATTGGGAGAACAAAAAGGCTTGAGATGTGGGCTCCATGGGCTCAGGTTTCTGCTGATATTTGAACTTTCTTCTTGGCTCTTGGTTTTAGTGGGCTTCGACAAGGGAATTGTCTGGGAGAGATGGAACAGGAATGCTGAGGGCTCCAGAAGGGGCTGTAGGTGTTGCCTGGATTTTCTCAGGCAAATTAGTAGCAAGAGCACCTGTGTCCACAGGCAGGGTCTCAGTGTGGTGTGTGCTTCTTGGGCTCTGAGGAGGAGTCCCTGACATGCAGGGCTGCAGAGGAGTGTGGCAGCGTGCCAAAGACACTGAGGCATTCCTGGTGTCACAGCCTGCTCCTGTGCCCTTGGCTGCAACTGTCCCTCTCCTGTGGGGTGGGCTGGGCAGTGAGAGCAGGTGGTAGCAGGGTGATTTGCATCTCTTGGTTACGTACCAGGATCCAGAATATTTTTCCAGCCATTTTAGAGAGGCCCTGGTCTCTGACTGGTGGCACTGACAAAAACTTGGGTGCTGCTATAAGGTGCATGTTTGTAAATGAGCTGACCTGCATATTCTGTTTCCTAATCCTGAGTGATACTGTCAGCTCAGAGAGCTGAGCCTGGGTAATGACTGGAATCCACTGTGCTTTTCTTAGTGAGGATGTGTGGTAATCTGAGGTAGTTGTTAAGTGCTACATCCTGAGAATCAGAACTGCACATGCCCCATGGGTTCAGCGTGTTTCAGACAGATAAACAGGGTTTGAGATGACCAGGGTAGTTACTGTAAGAACCAATGTCAGGTGCATTGTAAGCTGTAGTTACCTAGGAGGCAGATCAAATTAATGGGGTTTTCCCTCTGATTAAAGTAATGAAGAGCTTGCAAGGATGTGGTCTGCAAGCTTCTGCACGGGGTATGCATAGACACTGTCTCCCTGGCACAGGGAATGCCAAACAGCTGTGTGACAAGAGCAGTGCAGCCAGCAGGGCACCCCACTGCGTGACATTTGTGCTGTCTGAGACCTTGTTGGTACTCTGAGATGGAAGAAAATAGGGGCGAAGGGAGGAGTAGGAAATGAAATGGGAATAAGGACTGCAGAAAGGTATTTAGGGTGTCTTGGGAGCCACCACTAGACAGAATCCATTTCAAGGGAGGAGGGTATAACATTGTGGGGGACGAGAGTTGGGGTGGGGAAATAACAGCTATGGTCTCTCTTGTGCATTTAGGGTTTACTGTCAATCTTGCGCAAACTGAAAAGCACCCCAGACCAGGAGGTGAGAATCCTCCTCTTGGGACTGGATAATGCAGGCAAGACCACACTCCTGAAACAGCTGGCATCAGAGGACATCAGCCACATCACCCCAACACAGGTGAGGAAGGCCTCTCCTTCTTGAGGCAGTTACTGTGGTCCCACCTGCCACGTTACACAGAGTGCCCATGATTCTAAAAGGGGCAGCAACTGGACCATTAAGTTTGTGTCTTTTCTGCCTAAGAGGAGGTTTCCTGAAGGAGCCAGAGAGCTTCAGGCCGCATTGGTCAGGTAGTGCAAAAGTGGATGAGTGCTGTGGAGTTCTGCAAAAGGCTTTTGCATGGATGAGACTTTGTTCCTGTTGTCCTTGCCAAACAGGGGGCATGTAGAGTGGATGCTGCAGCACTGGACGAACCCTTGTCTGTTTACATCTTTCACCCAACCAGCTCCAAGGGTTCTGCATATACCAGTGCTCCTCTCTAATGTCTCTCATGCCCTTTGGTTGAGCTTTGGGATTGGAGGAGAGGGATGGCTCCCTTCAGAAGCACTGCAGCGTTGCTCCAGAGGAGGTTGCTAGAGAGCTATGGGATATGCTTCCCCCCACCCTGTAGCTGCCTCCCAAAGCTCCCAGCCCTGGCACCCTCATTCCAAGCCTTGGTCCCCTGGGTGGTGTGGCAGCGCGTTGCCAGCCCACACCACATCCTGTTTTTCTACTTGAATGCACTTTCAGTTGGTGCTCTAATTGATGAAATGGACCCTTCAGACGTGCAGCTGTTGCTCTTTTAAGCCCAGCATTAGCTGTGTCGTGTCGAATTGAGCTGAGACCTCTGGCTTCATATTAGTTGTGACTGTCTACTCAGCTTTCACAAGCTCAATCTTGCTTCTCACAGTGCCCTTGTTTTCTCCTTATCTGCAGCTCTCCCACCTCTTCCTGCACCCACCCTGCTGAGCTCTCTCAGGGCACTAACTGCATCATATGTCTCCATAGGCATGACAGCATCAACCCTTGACCCAAGAGCACTGGCAAACTGATGGTTTAGCAGCTGCTTTTGCTGGTGCCTGTCCCACAGCTGATCCATCTTTGTGGGTGCCCAGCCCATCTCAATGCACATTGCAGGCATGGGATATATAAGGTGTTAATGTCTGGCTACGAATATGCTCCAGCCATTCAGGTTTATGCTCTGTGTGGCTTTGTTTCTGCTCTTTCCAGGGCTTCAACATCAAAAGTGTACAGTCTCAAGGCTTCAAACTGAACGTATGGGACATAGGCGGACAGAGGAAGATCAGACCATACTGGAGGAACTATTTTGAAAACACTGATATCCTTGTGAGTATTGGCTGCAGCTGAATGCTGTGTTCATGCAATGGCTTTCCAAGGTCTCAGCCAGAAATTCAGAAACAAGTAATGTAATGTCCCAACCCTCAGTAACACCATTGCCATTGTAACAGGAGTTATTCTGAGCTAAATGGCAAGATTGGTTGAGTGCAGTAAGAAAAATATAGTTATGTTTGCAGAAATCATTCAGTTGCATGTTTTTACTTTCACAGGATGGTGCTGTTTATAGCCAGTTCCTTTCCTCTCATCTCAGTCTCTTTCAAATGAAAGAACATTAATAACATGTACTTTACCCATCTATAGCTCCTTTCACTGGAGACTCTGAAGGCCTGTCATGGGCATTAGTGTCTTAAACATCATGTATAGAGGTAGGTCAGTATGGTGCTCTTGTTTTATAGGTAGGGAAACTGAGGCATAAGAATTAAATGCTCTGTCTGGCATCAGATAAGAAGGCTTCTGAGTGAGGGACACAGAGAGACCCCTTGTCTTTTCTTTTTCTCCTTTAATTGTAAGGCTGTCTTTTAATGGTTTTGACAACTTAGCTGTAATTACTTTACAATTAGCTACAGATGACCACAATTACATTTACAGTGCAGGACCTTTGTTTTTCCATGCCAGAGCACATTGCCCTGGGACCCTCCAGGTGCTGTCTTGGCTAGTTTCAAAGATCACCTCTAGCATGCAGTCACATATGCCAGGATGAAGGCAGACTGGGGGCTGCAGGCCTCTCTGCCCCAAGCACTATTGCCTGTGGGAACAGAGAAAAACCAAGGTCTGCAGACTCCCACGGGAAAGTAGGAAGCGCTCTCAGAAGGACACCATTCCTCCCTCCTGTCACACATATACTCAGTAATGTGTCAGAAGCTTCAGTGCACTTGCGTGGAAGGATTAGTGCAACTAGGAATAGGACTCTGTTCACCAGGGCTCGTGTCCAGTTGCTGAAAGGCCTAGCTGTGCCTGCAGGCTTAGAAAACATTGTCCAAATGAAGCTATTACTTGAATGTGACTAGTAAACCCTTGATGCTCTCTTTTGCCAATCTTCATTTTTGAGCCTCAGTTTGGAATCTAAAGTTCAGAAACAGCCACCACTGCATAAACCCAGCTGATTGCTTTTGCAAAGAAGAACTGTGAGATTTTTTATGGGGTATGATCTGGGTTTGAGAAACGAGCAGGACACACACTATGCTCCTCTGTGGCTGTTGAGGACAGAGATGGTGTGGCTGTGAGGCTACTGTGCCTTGATTTGGCCCAGGCTCTAGCGCTGTAGGTGGTGGGGAGGCAATAAGTGTGCAGATCAAGGTCAGCCCTGCAAAGCAGCAGCATTGGGATCTCTGCCTGCTGTGGCAGGTGCTCAGGATGCCGAGGCTGTGCAATGACAAAACAGTATCTGGAAGACTCTGCTGGCAAAGACAATAAACTACACTGGCCTGTTGCCTTCCACCCTTCCTAGTGGAGGTGCAGAAATAAAGGTGAATTTGAAGACTGAAGGAGATGAAAGCAGTTGTTTTCCCTGCCCCTCTCTCACCCCAGTTAAAGCAATGTACAGAAAAAAAAAACCAAACTCTTCATATGACTAAGAAAATGAGTGGATAGAAGCAGAATCAGTTTGGGGGAAGCAGCAGTGTGAATTCAGAGAAATAACTGGTGCACCAATGGACTTGAGTTCCCCTAGCTGCACTTCATGCTGACACCCAGTCCCAAACTGGGAGATGTTGGCATGTTGGGGCAGTGCTTTGCTATTCAATACACACCAAAACTGGGATCACATGTATGCTGATGGCATGCTCTGTCTTCTGCCAGTCCTTACCCCTGTTTTAGCCAGTAATTTTACCCTCTGACAAACCTGGTGCAGATTGTGCATTTATAAATTGAGCCAATTTATCCCTCCTGCTATTTCTTCATCTAGTCCCACCACTTGCAATTTCTGCCCAACCCATTTATTCCAGGCTGTGTTTTGGCTTGTTTCTCAAAGGAGGTACCCAGCTTTACAGGAATTTCTTTCTCAAATCTCCATTCTCCGGCATGGTGTTCCAATTGGTAAACTATGTTACCAAGCCCCACAGGCAAAAACAGCTCTTGTGTGGCCTTGGCCATAAAAGGAGGTTGGACATGAGATACACTACAGTTCCCAGGACCCCCTGCTTCTCTCTTCCCCTAAACTGCATTGCATAAAACAGAAAGGACCCTCCAAAGAGTATTAAAAAGCAGGAAGTAATTACAAATTCAAATCCATGCAGGTGCCTTTGAATGAGAGCTTGGTCTTGCATCACACACCTGTGATATTTGGAAGCTTAACGCAGGCAAATAAGGTGTGGATATCTGGCTGATTGCATATTCAGACAGGCACCTGCAGCTATTTGGCACAGTGCTTGCTGGTTTGGAAGTAGGCACTCGGCACATACTTTGCTTTCTCTGTGCTGTGCTTTTGTGGCTTTTGCCCCAAGCACTGTTGTATCTAGTTCTCATCTTGCAAAACAGCTCCCTAGTGAGGAATGAGCAGTGCAAGGGAAAGCCTGGCTGAATGGGACCCAGAGCCATTCCTTCCCAGTTAGAGAAGCACTGCAATATGGAAGGTGCTGCCTTTCAGCTCACAAGCAGCACTCGACCATTGCATTAATGTGTTGTGGACTTCCCCAGAGATGGCCAGAGGGAGGACAGATGACAGTCCAGTCTCACCCCAGAACACAACTGCCAGCCCTGCAGCTTCTGCCTTTCTTTTGCTCTGTGTTTCCTACCCTACACGGGATGCACAAGGGTGGATGCCTGGTAGGGGCGGGGAGGCCGTGTGTAGCTGATGCAGTATTGGTGCACGTGCTGGGGATCACCCTGCAGGGAGAGGCCCGTGTGTCATGCCCACGGGCTGGTCCCCATCACGTGGCAGCGGGTGCGTGCTCTGCTGACGCATCCCAACGCAGCTGCGTCCAGCCCTGCCGCTCCCCCAGCCCCTGTCAGTGCACATCAGCCCCCCAGTGATCTGCACAGCGGCTGGGAGGTTGCTGGGTTACCTCCTCAGGCCTTGCATACAGATTTTCCTGCTGCGTGTTTGGTCCCATTTCAAACAACTCAAATGCCGCTCATTAAGAGAGTGCCTATAGTTTAATAGATATTGCTGCTAGAGATCTTCCCTCCTCCTACTATTTGATCGAAATCATCCTAGAAGCATGGAGTCTTATGCTGAGACTGCCTGCAAGGATGCCATTTATCTTGATGGCAGGGTGCTGTGCTCATCTATTCCCTGGAAACCAGGCTGACACTTGCTCCCTGTAAGCCACCAAAGTGCATGCAGATGACATGCTAGCAGCTTCAATCACTACTGATGGGGAATGGCAGCAACTGGAAGCAAAATGCTCAGTATTTGTCACCAGTCCCATGCCTGTCTGCTATCCCAGCATCCTTCTTCAAAAACCTTCATGTATCAAGCAATGAAAAAGGGATACCAGTCTATTCTTGCCTGCATGTTGTACTGAGGTTCCCCATTTTTTTAGATGGCAACTGAAGATGGAGTCTTGCAGGCTGAATCCAGCCTTCATACCCAACCACCCTCTCCAAGAGGCTACAGTAGGATTGCCTGATGGAGACAAACTCAATGTCCCCAACACATTCATGTGTCCCCTGAGTGCCATTGTGTGCCTTGGTGGCTTATTAAGGAGGTGATGCTAGAGAGCAGCACGGCACAGTCACACCAGGCCAGTGTTTGTATACTTTGCTGGGGTGAAAGGCCATGTCTGGCTCCCCAGGTTTTGCCCTCCTAAGGTCAGCTTCAGCTTGTAACAATAAGTTTGGAACAATACCATCAATCTCCCGTTCTCTTCAGATAATATATGCTGTGGTGATGGTGACAGCATCCCAGTGCTTCTGCCAGCTCCTTTCTGATTCTACCCACATGGTTGTCCACTCCTCTGGCATTAAAAGAGGTGGTTCCTCTCCTTTCAGAACATCATGAAGTTTTGTCAACATTTGCTGCAAATAATAGCAAGGATCTTTGTGCCCAAAAGTGTAAACTCACTTAAGCACATGCTGCTGTGGAAGAGTAACTTTTCTTGTCATTTCTTTTTTCAGATCTATGTCATTGACAGTGCAGATAGGAAGAGGTTTGAAGAAACAGGTCAGGTAAGTTACTTAAGCCCAGCTTCCTTTGAAGTAACTCAGTGCTTCTGAGTGCCCCTTGCTCACAAAAGTTAGGAAGAAGATTTTGTTGTTTATGAAGGAAATTTGCATTTCAAGAGACTTGCCTTTCAACATCAATACAGATTATTTTGGTAGATGTGAAACAAGGAAAATAGGTAGCCTAATTCTGTTTAAATAGAACAGTGTTCATTAAAGTTATACAATAATAGCAAATGGAGCCTATTACTGAAAGCACAAACTTCTCTAAGTCCTTTAAACCTTGCCAAACCAGGACCCTGAGGAATCCTATTTTCTTATTTACGAAGCTGAAATGGAAATCATATTGACTTGATTGTCTTTTGGACGTAATTGTAAAAAAGCTAAGAACTATCTAACTAATACTAGCCAGAAAATAAGATTTCCGTTTTACAAAGTTCTGATGTTTTGTAACATTTTTTGTTTTAGGTTGGAACAAAAATAGGACTTAAACTTCATTGTGTAAAATTCTGAAAGTGACAGTGTCCCAAAATAGCTGGCAATAGATTTACCCCACAGAAATGGGAGATGTAGATTAAAGCCTTCTGTTCTGCCTGATTTGAAGGAGATACTTGATCTTTTGCCTCTCAAGTCTCATGGACATACCCCAACAGAAGAACTGTTGGTTGTTCTAGGGGTGGGGGAATCTTTCCCCTGCTGGAGCAATTTCATTTTATATCAGTAATTAAATATTCATTGGGCAAAAGAGATAGAAAGGAAGCAGCAGCTTAGATCACTTGCCTGAGTCAGGCGGAGCCAACTGAAACCCCTCCTCATATTTCCGCAAACACTTTTGGTTTCAATAAATCAGCCGTGTCAGATGAAAGACCTATTTTGTTGAAAATTTCCCAGCCAATTCTGTTTATAACTCCATCCTCTCATCCTGGCCTCCAAACCAAACATTGCTTTTGGGGGAGATGGAGTTGTATTTCCACTGCAGTTTAGCATCTCCCTGACTGCACTTGTTTAATCCCGAAGTTTCTATTCAGTGGATAAAAGATGTTAGAATGTTATCTGAGAGCATGAGACCTTACCAGCTAAATAAGGAGGCCACAAAAATCTCCTATACTCATCTGTCTGCAATGCCAGCAGTCCCTACAGGTTCATGTTCTGCTGAGTTTGTCATATGTTCCCATAGGGAAGCGACTTGAAACTGAGTGCCGTTTTCACATGAGACCATTGCACAACCTAGACATGACCAAAATTCAACTATTAAGGCTCATCTAGCTTGTCTTCAGCTAATCAATGCCTTCAAAATTATCAGCACTTTCCTGTGGGAGGGAGATTTCCATTTTGGGGGAGGTGGGGGTTGGGAAGTCCTCTCCTATTTAAATTGTAGTGATTAAAACTTCGAACAACCCCTTGAAACTCATGATGAGCAAAGATACCAGGGCCAGTGTGAATGGTTGCTCAGGTACAAATCAGGTCAGTCAGGCAATAACTTGAGACAGATTCCTCATACTGCCAATGTACTTGTTGTTTTTTGCTCTCCTGGGATCAGAGACTGGTAAAACATGGTGTTGTAGCCTTTAAGGCAACTGCTAATTTCAGACCAAAATTAAGATTTTTCTAACCTGCAATTGGAAGAAATAGCTTTTGAACCTTGGGCTGAGATGATTGTATACATTTTTGCTCTCTTATAATAAGATCTAGGTTTCACTGGAACACACTCTTCTAGCATTTGCCCTAAATATATTTCTAATTAGAGACAAGCATTGGTGGTTGAAGATTTTCTTCCCTTCCCTCTCACCATCTTCCCCCCACCCCACTCCCTTGTAAATGATACAGGAGCTGGCTGAGCTTTTGGATGAAGAAAAGCTTAGTGGAGTCCCCGTGCTCATATTTGCCAACAAGCAGGATTTGCTGACGGCTGCCCCTGCTTCGGAGATTGCCGAGGGACTGAACCTGCACACAATCCGGGACAGAGTCTGGCAGATCCAGTCTTGTTCAGCTCTTTCAGGAGAGGGAGTACAGGTGAGGCTCTGCAGAAGGCTTGCTGTGCCAGCAGGCCATCTGTAAGAGACTGCTGATCTGCAGGGTGGGGTCAGCACAGCCAAAGCCTTGCAGTGCAAAATGCGGGGGGTGCGTGTCTTGGGTCCTGCGCAAAGGGAAGGGAGAGCTGGGGGCCCTGGGGCTCTCTCCCCTGGTAAAGGGGAGAGCAATTGCCTCCCCACCCAGGAGCCTTTAGCTGGCCCAGATGAAGACATTGATTTCTTTTAAAGAGACTGCTGTCAGGTTAATCATTCTCACAAAACAAATTGTCTTTTACTATTAACCCTTTGACTGGTACGAGTGTGCACTCCAGAAATCTGATTTACCTTTGCTACTGATGTCATTTGGCATTTTACTAAACCCAGGCACCAGGGAGAAAAACTGATCAATTTTTCTCATCCAGAGAAATGCTAGAGTCGCACATGGAGCAACAACCACTTCTAATGTCAGCATGTGGGGCAGCAAAAACACACCGAGGGGTCTGCACTGTGTCCCTGTGCTGAACTGTAATAGTTGTGTCTTGGGCTCCTGTGCTGTAGTCAGTTCCTGCGGTATAGTAGTTCTTTGTAATGTAAATGGGACCTAGGTTTGTTTATTTCACTCTTAGGTTTTCCTGAATTAATGAGGTATTTGCAGAGCTCGAAATCTGAGTACTCCCTTCACTGATATTTAAAGAAACAGAATGGTGAAGACATTTATCTTCACTGCAGTTTCAGTAAAACCTTATTTGCAGATGCTACAGAGCAGTTCAGAATAGTGAGATCTCAAGCTGAGTATGAAGAGTCACAGAAGCAGCCCTCCATGCTGAGTGGGCAGTAAAATGGCAGATGAAATTCAGTGTTGACAAGGGCAAAATAATGCACACGAGAAACAACAATCCTAATTATATGATGATGGACTCAAAATTAGCTGCCATTACTCAGAAGCAGAGCCTTGGGAACAGAGCTCATCAAAGGCCAGAGAGGAAAATTCAAACACTGGACAATTACAAGAAAGCAAAGAAGAAACATCTTTTCTAGCAGGTTAAAGTCATTGTGAGTCCATACCTTGGATATGACCTCAAATTCTGTCTCTGCCACATTTAAAAAGGTTTTAGTAGTAATAGTAGAATCATAAAGTCCAACAAAAAATTAGGCAGAAGGGTCTTCAGAAGATCTTCAGACCAACTTCATGTTTAAAGCAGGGATAGCTGTGTGTCTAGAGGAGGTTGCTGAGAGTCTTGTCCAGTCAATATATCTAAGCATGTAAATTCCATATCCTCTCTAGGTAACCTCTTCTAGGCTTTTAACTACCCTAATCAGAAAAAAATACACTCCACATATCTGCTTAGAATTAGGACAGATTTGAGGATCCTCTCTCAGGAATGATCAGTAACACAGAGTGGCATCTGTATACAGGGATAATAAATAAATTAGGACTAGCAGTTTGTAAGAGAGAGGACAGAGAGTGGGAACATCTTCAGGATTTATAAAATAAGGTATAAAAATGTCAGATAGACTGTATGCTATTTTTACACTGCTAGAGGAAGAGCGTTCCTGATGAAATAATCAGAAAATGGTTTAAAAGAAATAAAAATAAGTGCTTCTTTGCAAGTGGCATAATTAAATTCTGGATCTCATTGGCGCAGGATGTTGGGGAGACCAAAGGTATCAGAAAAAAAACAGTATCAGAAAAATACTTAAATGAATTTCTGAAGAAGGGATGTGCAGGCAATGGCTGATCAGTAAGATCTGGAGGCAGCTTTTGACTGAGGAATAGCTTGGGCCATGAACTGGGAGCAAAGAAAGTAAGGCAGATCCTGTTCCTACATGGTCTTTCCCCTGGCATCCAGAAAGAGGATGCTGGCCTGGGCCTGTAGTTAGCTAAGCTACAAATTCAGCTATGTTGTAGCCAATGTTGTAAAGGGCTTCAGCTCTAATCTCTGCTCTGAAATTTCCAGTTCAAAGAAATCTGACCAGGAAAACAAGGCTGCCGTTGACAGGGTTTCAGGCAAACATAGTTGCCTTCCTACCCCTTCAGGCCCTTCTCTAGGTTATGGAAGTCCAAGGGAGCTCTCCAGCTGCAAAGGGGCAGTAAAGAGACAGATGAAATTCAGAGATGTGTGTTGGATGTGGAAAAAGTAAATGATACAAAGTGTCACTTTCTGTTCTTGAGCTTTGAAATGTGCTTCCTTCTCAGGCAGATTTGTGGGGTCTCTGGAGTGGGCTGCACACTTCTCCACTGACAGCACCTTCTTACTGTGCCTCCTCCCTGAAGCACAGCACATCCCTAATCATCCAGTAGTGCAAATACTCAGTCCAATACCCTCTACCAGGGAAATGAAATCTGCTTCTGCATTCACTTCCAGAAAGCAGAAGACCAGAACTAAATAAAAGTATTTGCAGGCCTATATATTTTGTTCATCATGCTTATCTAGACAAATTAGTTTAGATGCAGGATAGATAACATCCCACTTTGTTGTAGTCAGTCTCATTGCCCTAAATACTTCAGCTTATTCCATAAATGATTATTGCAGAAAAGTCAGGAAAGTCGCAAGCTCTGTATAGCTTACAGAAGAAGAGCCCCTACTTTTCTCTTCAGTCGTAACTTCAGCTCTGTCAAATCAGACAGCAAGAATGTCAAGCACTCCCTTTCCTTGCAAATGGAACAAAGTGTTTGGGGACATGGCTTTTAAACTAAACCCAGATCAGCCTAGGAAAAAACGGTGTCTTCAGTCCTGGGATGTGAAGGAGAGGTCAAACTTTAGGAGAATCAAAAAACTTGTTTAAAGAGTGAGATTAGGAAAGATGTTTTTGAGGATTGTGGTACACCAGGGCCACAGGTACCAGAGGCTCAGAACAGGAGCTCTCCATATGTGGTTAAATCTCAGGTCACCGCTTTAAGGACTTTGTTGAGAAATGACAATGAGTGGCAGCAAAATACATGGAGTTGGGGAAGCATCAGGTGTTCAGAATGAAAGCCAAGGAATGAGCACACCAACCATTGCAGGTGATGGAATGGATTAGCTGGAGTTTGATTAGCTGGAGTAGAATTAGAGACATTACTGACAGATCTTTCAAGGAAGAATGGTGGCAAATCTTGTACTAAGCACATGCAGAAACAGAGTTCATATGGGAAGATGTTTGTGATAGCTTGAAGGAAGAGCAATGAGCAAAGATAAATAATGCTGATACATGAAGGAGAAATAGTTTGAAGGTCATTTAATTAGTTTAGCAGCTAGCACCATTGTGTATAGAACTGGGTAGTTAAGACTGGGGATTTCAAGGTTAATGAGATTAGATTATGGTTAATAGAATGATATAAATTTAGAGAATTTAACTATTATTTGAAATGGGTTATTTAATAAAACTGTTAATTAAGGGGGGAATCCATATAGTCATCTTCTCTTTTAAAATTAACCATTAGGGACTCTGGAAAAGGGGCCTAGCAGTGTCCTGAGCAGGCTCAGAAGAGAGGTGACTGGGTTAACTGGAAACTCCATGTAGTGTCTCTGGATGCCAGCTGGCAGCCTCTCTTATGCCAGCTGAAGACTTCATTACCTCCCGACTGGAACTGTGGGCAGCCCTTGTCTTGTTAATCAGACTTCATGGTGCCATCGAGGCTTTTTCAAGCAAAGTGTCTTCTTGGGTCTGTTCTTATCCTCAGCCCCAGATAAAAAGCAGGAAAGCCTTTTCTCCTTGCCACAGCCATCTGGGCTCTTCTTCTGGAACAGGGTACTGACCAGCCTACACTGCAACCTCAGCGAGTGAGGGAGGTGATTACTGATGACAGCAGAGGAACATAAGGGAACTATTGCCTCACAGTGACTCTGGTGCCATGTAGGCTCTCTTGGGGTATTTGTGACCAGGTCTCAAATTGTAGCCCTTGGTGTATAAAAGCTGTGTACATTCCACCCTGGCCAGCCAGGGTTGGTGTGAAAGCAAACAGAACCCTTCTGCTTTGCTGCCTCCTCTCTTGCTGAGGTGTTATTTAGGGGCCAGGGTGTGATATTAAATATGACTCAAGGCTTGGGACTGATGTGTGCTCTGTAGCTTTTTTCTTTGAAGCAAGATTCTCCAATCTGAAGCAAGATTCTCCAATCAAGGCAGCAGGAGTTCAGCCTGCCCTGAGGAACTGTCCTCCAGAATGATGATGCAGTGTATTGTGTCCAGAGTCTCCCAAACATAATGACCCTCTGGAGACCATTAAAAGCCAGTGAAACTGAGAGTAGCCACTAAACTTTTCCAATTTATGCCAGAGCCCATCTGGCCCAAAGGATTGTGGGGAAGGCTGAGCCTCTGTATCTTCCCTGGCTGTTTCAACCTAGTTGAGAATGAAGCCCAAGACCTAAGTTATGTCTGTGCTGCAGTTCAACACTTTCATAAGGGCAAGATTTAGAGCAGGACCATCCCTGGCGGATACCACATACCAATGAGGTATCTGCAGAGCTTAGGTTTAGTCTTAGCCAGGAAAGGCTGGATGGGGATCTCCCACATCTTAACAAGGTTCTGGAGCTATTTGTAAATATGATTTAAAACCAGTGTTGATGACTGCAGCTCTCCTGGAGCAGGCAGAGCCTGTGCATGTTGAGGAAAAGCAACCATGTTTCCAGATTACAAGGCAGTGTCTTCTGATTTTTAAGTAGGGTAAGGAGGGAGTCTACAGGGATACAAGGTCTCAGAGGACAAGAAAATAAGCTTTCACCCAGGCAAAACCCAATGGATAATGTACTGGCAGGAGCCAGCCTGTATGATCACCAGAGGTGCAAGGAAATGACAGATAATGAAGGCACAGCCCTGGCTGTGCAGAGGGAGAAGAAAGTGACAGTTAAAATAACGCATACCAAAAATGCTAGAGATTGAAAATTTTGCACTTGCCTGACCCAATTTGTTATGGCAGACAGAGGATTACATGAAAGGATTAAGCTTTTCTGTCCTTAAGGTCACATTAGGGGTCACAAGTTTGTGGCCTTGCCTGATCCCAGGCTTGCAGGGGAGCAGAAATCGTGAGGCTTTTTATGGGGTGGAAAGGACTTGTTCGCTGTGTTTGAAGTCAGATTACTTCACTCCCATAGCCACAAAGCTGATAATGCAGAGAATAAGCAAGCAGTGGGCTAATCTTAAGCAGGACTTTTTATTTCTCCCAGGGAAGGCTCTACCAGTACTTTCCCAAAGGGCCTTGGAGTACAGCTCCCTTGGTACAATAGCAGATGGGACTGCAGCAAGGCGGGGTTTTGTGAGCAGCATTTCTCTGCAAGGAGCGTTATCCTCTTCCCTGGGGTTCTCTCTCTTTGCTTTGGTAAAGTTTACTAGCTGCTTGTTAAGGAGCTAAGAGAGGCAAAGCTGTAAGATCTGAAATCTTTCCCTGGCTAAGTTTTCCCAGGGTTGACTTGAGGCTGGAATACTAATATTGTATCCGCCTCAGTCCTCAGAGTACCTGCCAATGTTTCTGTGTCTCAACAAAGCAGCACAAGGACATCTATCAAGATCTAAATGTTACTGTAGGGATTATACTTTCTTCACAGAACCATCTTTTAAACATGCAGATATAGGGACAGAGTGTGCAGGGACAAAGGATGACAACAGTTGACTCCTTGAGGACTTGACTCTTTCAAGCACTGTTTCCTCCTTCCCATATGCCTTTCCTATAGCAGCTCTTTGTATTTGTAGCAGCTTCCCTGGATTTCTTTATCTTACCAATGCTCTGTGCTGCTTCACACCATAGGTAGAAAAACTGCAAATGTACCTTTTAGGTTTTTTTGCTTTCCATTGCATTTGGTATTCTCCAAAGCATCTGGGGACACTGCAGAACAACACCCCCCTTCAAAAAAAAAAGTTGCACCAGAAGCTGCAGACGTAGCCGAGGAACGCATCTCACATACACCTTTCTGATACAGCTGAACATGTTAATTTTCCCTTTATCACTGTCAGGCAGGGGGATATTTACAATTAAATGTGATTTTTTCCTGTCAATTAACTCATGCCAGAAGAGAGTTTTTAAAATCTATTTCTGCTTTAAAAGTTTGGTGACCTACTTACGTATTTCAAGCGTGTTTGGAGTTCACCTTTCCTCTTGCATTTTGCTATGTCATTCTCTTGCCCTCGTTAAATGCTTCATGCAGCCAGGCTCCCAGCCATGGTAAATCCCATCATAAACTCTGCTTTATGACCCTCGCTGCGCTGGTGCTGCAATGGTCTGCCTTTCTCCTTGCCCAGCTCCCCAATGGCAGCAGGCAGTGTTTTAATCACTGTGAATTCAGGTTGTGGTCAGATTAGGTAGAAGATAGGATGCGTGTTTGTTGTTTTGCAGTGATGTATTGTTTCTGGGATTACTGTGCTGAATAGCAGAGGGTGTCAGCTGATATTTATTACTTTAAGCTGTCTCAGCTGTTCTGGTTCAGCAAATAAACCTACATTCAAAATGAATGAGGAGCTCTGCTTGCCTTGTATGCCATGATGTGTGCAAATGTGATTATTGCTTCCAAGGCAGGGGAAGCTGAAATCATTGTGAGAGCATTTTTAGTTATTTATTTATTTTTACTCTTTGCAGGCAATCATGCAGATTTCTAAAGCACACAATGAAGTTAAAGGCTTGACACCTCTCCTTCCAGCCCCATTGTTAAGCCCTGGCATTCCTCATGCTGGGAATCACTCGCTCCCTCTCTCTCTAAAGTGATAAGCTTTAAACCATGCTATTGATTGCTTAAGGCATTACATGTTTTACACCTAGGTTATCAGTGTTATTGAAAGGGGAAGACACAAAGCTACCGGGCCTTAAAATGAATCTACCTCTCATCTTTTCCCATTTGCTCAGAGGATTTCAGACAATTTGTTTTACACTGATCTCTGCTGGGGAGATAAATAAATGAAACTGAAGACACCAACCCTCCCCAAGGTTAGAGTTAGAAGTGTTATTAGTGTAGGGCCTCATGCACCCCAGCACAAACTGGGCTCACTTATTCTTTATTTAACACAGCAACAAGGGCTGATTTCAAAAGTTGCTGCTCCCCTTCAGATAAGAAGTGTCACATAGCGCAGTTATCAAGGTGAATTGGTATTTTCAAGTGAGAACCTCTCTGCTTCTGATTAAGCCCTGAGGACTCCCTCTCTTCTCTCTTAACTCTTTAGCTCCCCTCTGACATGGCCACCACCTTTGTGGCTGAGGGACAGCATAGAGGCGCAGCAGTGAGTGTCAGCTCACGCAAAGGGCCTGCTGTACTCTACCTTGGGCTGCCTGTCCTTGGAGAAGCTGAGCTCCTTGGCAGCCTTTTGGCACTCTGGGAACAAGGGAATAGGAAATCAGCAACACTGCTACCGTAGGGATACCAGTGACGTTTGCTCAAAAGCTCTGACCTTTCTTAGGGTCTAACTGAGGTTGTTGTGGTAATGATACAAAAATGACCACTGAACATAATACAGTGAAATCCCCCCACTCTGAACTCTGAGGTGATATTTGCCTGACTTCCACACAAAGATGTGGTGTTCCTCTCTCATCCCCAAAACCCTACCTTTTGCCTTCAGCCTCCCTATCTGCAGAGGTACCTCATAGACAGGACAGAGGTAAGGGATTTGATGGGACACAAATATGAGGAGACTGTGCATCTTGCACTCCATTGGGCACGTCTCCTAACAGATAAGTGACAGGAGCAGATGAAGCTTTGGCTTTCAATAGCATATCCCATTCTGGGATCTCAGCAATAAATTCACAAATTGGGTATTCACAGCACAAGTGTTGCTGTCCTGCTTGCTCTGGCCAGAGAGGTCACCCACACATTTTTACAGAGATACCTTAAGGAGTATATCAGCCTCTTAAAACAGGACCACAGAGCTTCTTACTGAACCCCTGTGGGATCACTGAGGGCCCATTTTCTGTGGGGTCCCTGAGGAACAGGGAGCAGGGTCCAGGTCTGGTTATTGCAGTGACTTTCATGAATCTGGATTTCAAGGCTTGCAGATGAACAGAGAATTAGACCTGTTTTCTTAACAGGGGGCTGACTGTGTAACAGTCTCCTAAAATCCAGTCTCAAAGATAAGATGACTTGCTCAAGATTACACAAATCATCTGTAGCCAAACCTGGAACAGGGTCTTCATCTGCCACTGACGTACCTTGACTGCAAAGTGATCCTTCCTCGTAGGACCTAAACATAGTGATGTGATGAGATGATGATACTTTTTTATGGTCAGATGAAAGATTTAATGACCTCTGTGTGACAACATCTACCAAGCAAGGAAGCACTTATTTTTTTAACCTACAATGGTTTTGGGGACAGAAGGGCAGGCAGGGGGTCAATGAGGAGGCAGAACATGATGCTTGCAGAATGGTGGTGGGGTAGGCTTGGGGGATTCCTCCTCCTGTCGCTTGACTAACGTTACCTTTCTCTGTCTGAAGGACGGCATGAACTGGGTGTGCAAAAATGTCAGTACTAAGAAGAAGTAAAGCGTTCTGAGCTGCATGGAAATGGAGGAGCGGTGGGAGCAGAATTCTAGCCTGAAAACACTAATTTGCTGCTTTCTGACCAAATGTTTTTCCATCTGTGCACAGCTACAGCTGTTAAAAGAAAAAAAAAAAAAGAGAGAAAAAAGGGAACAGTGTTGGTTTAAACCTACTGCTGGATTTGGAACTTGACCTGCTCTTTAGTATCAATTTTTTTATCCCAATAAAGGAATTACATATTTCCTCCCTATGCATAAGTAGTATTAAATGTCTGATTAGCAAGCAAGTTTGTAAGCAGAAGCAAGACTGATTCAGTGTGGAGCAGAGGGAGTGGTGAGTTACTGTAGTGGCTTAGATGCATAGGAGCTGCCCTAATAGGCGCGGTTGCTGAGGACACGCTCGGCATCAGTCACAGCTTCCCCTCAGTGACAGATAAAATGCAGTTGTGTTACCAATTGTGGGTAGTTTCTTAAAATAAAGCTGCTAAGGAGTCATTTGTGTAACAAGGGTAGAAGACTTCCACATATTCCTATAGCCATAAAAGAGGAGTTTGATGATAACGAGGCACTGTTGCATTGCGACACCGCTGTAGAAGGGAGAGAAGGGTTATATGTGTATAATTGAAGCTCTTTGCAGTTGGAATAATGCAGGATGAGCGTGCCTAGGGCTTTTCTCGCAGCTGAAGGAGAGTTTAGCCCAACATTTCACCTTGAGCCAGCAAAAATGTTGCTCCTCCGTTCAATAAGTTCCATATGTGAGATTAGTCTTGATGTTGAACAATCCCTGTTGATTTTCCCTTGATGTTAAGGCAACTCTACAGGAAAATGCAATTAAGTCCATGATTACTTTCTAGAATGAGATATCAGGTCCCAGGTTTCCTTCTTTGAAATGTGCAAAATGTATTCTCCTACCCCACCAACTCAGCATGCCTTGCCTGGCTCTTGCAGGGCCTTGGGGGACTGCCCCACAGCAGGCTGGCTGTCCAATGCCGGAGGTGCCCCAGCCTGGTGCTGGCTGTGGATTGCCCGGGTGGAGGGTGAGGATCCTGGTGAACAGCAGATGGGAAGTGCTCTGTAAAACGAGCGTTCATTCTTCCCCAGGCCGGCTTCCCTTTAAAAGGACACAGTTGCTGAAATGGGAAAGAGAATGTGATTTCCACCTCCTCCTCCCCAATTCAAATCTAGCCCCACACTGACAGGGGAGCGGGAGCGATTAGCACGCCGAAGTAGCCATGTCCTGCATGAAGCGAGTTTGGTGACTCCTGGGCCAGTTTCTAATGCACAGATGGTAGAATAATCCCACTGCCCTGCTTGCCAGCTTTGTTTGCTGCCTGCCTGCGAAAGGCCAGAGATTGACTGGGGACTGCATTACCCCTTCCACCTCCTGGAGACGGACGGTGGCGCAGGATGGGAGAGCTGCATGTACTAAAGCATGTGGCTTTACCACGCCTCAGCGAGTTGACTCATGGACCCAGGCAGACGGCTGACACCCCTGGAGCTCCCAGCTCTTTTCTCCTCCCTTCCCCTGGACATCTCCACCTCACGGCACAAACATCTGCACTGTACGTGAAGCAGCCCATGGCTGTCTCTGTGTTACAGCCTGGCATATTAAAATCATCTGGGGCACATTCCAGGTCCCCCCATACATCAGGATGTACAGTAGCAGTTCAGGGATGATCCGTGTGTAGTTCAGCTGTCTTTGCTGTGGCTGGGGGCACAGGGACAGCTGGGACAGCAACTGCTTTAGCAATCCAACTTTAATCTGCCTGTGTCCGTGAGTCAGCACCCTCCGAGTACATCTGTCTCCAGCAGGGAGGCAGGACACGCATGCCGGAGTAGCAGAGCCTTGCTTTAAAAATCAGACGACCGGGGAGTGGGGTGGGGGGGAAGAGCGGGCTCAAGTGAGCTGTTAAGCAATCGCTAATGACAAAGTGACACAGCTTCGGCTTTGCATGGATTGAGTAAGGAGTCATAAGATGAGATGTTCATTTAAATGCAGCTTGCTCGGTAACTCCCCAACTGTGCAGGCTTATCGGGAACGCTGCAAATTTGAGTATGGCATGTTCCTGAGTCAGTCCAAGGAGGAGAAATTCATCCCAGCATCACCTTTTCCTTGCAAATAATGCATTTGCCTGATGCAAGCAATGTAAAGAATTACAGCCCTTTCCTGTGGGCAGGCTTGTGCTGGCTGGGTGGCAGAGCTTTGTGACAGATAGTCCCCAAGCTTTGGATTTGCACACATTGCTTACCAGATGCAGAGGGAAATGCTCGGGTATCTCTCTGGCCCAGGCAGGACAGGGCAGAGCATCCTTTGGAGCTCAGGCATTGATCTTTCACGCTTGCAGGGGACTTGAGTTGGTGCTTTCCTGCTCCCTACTCTTTTAGCAGTGGCAAACTTAGTCTGTGACACTGCACCAGTTCCACAGTTGGCTTCCTGGGGCTGAAAAGAATCTAGGAGGGTAATGTGGTTTTTTAAAGTCTCATGTTGCTTAAACTTGGAAATATGTGTAAAATAAATATGTAGTAATTTTCCTAACACTTTAGTTGGGAAGGAAAAATTGCCTTATTGAACTCAGGATCCAGAAACATTTGCTGGCTCATTCATTATGTTTACTTGTAGCCACACGTATTGGCTGCTTGCATCTGTACCTGCCAGAGTGTCACCTGTAACCCAGTAGTTAATTTGGTTTTCCCATGCTAGGTGGTAAGAGAGGAAGACCGTGATAGAGTGAGCTGTGCTGGGAGGATGGAGGTGGGGGGTTAAAATGACCATGTCTTAAGTATATCATCCTACAGTGATGGCTGTAAATGTTTGTTGTATTCTAAATGTTTCTCTGTGCAACCTGGTGAAAATGTGTAAGAATTTGAGGTTCTGTTCACTTGCTCCTCCTTATCTGAATGTATTTACGTCTGCTATGGCCTCTGCAGGGCTCCCTGCCCTGGGCATCACCTGGCTGAAAACCACCTGGACAAGTGTCTGGGGCCAGCCAGAAACGCCTGCCAGCGATCAATGCAGCCGCTGCCCCTCTGCCAGCCCTCAGCCCTGCCCTGCCGCAGGGCTCCGTCCTTCCAGCGCTGTCAGCTTCGCCCTCCTTTAAACTGAGGCGGGGGGAACCAGGCGGCTCCTTGCTATGGGGGCAGCTCTGCCACACGTCCCATCAATTCCTGAATTTTTTAGCCAGGAGGGACCGTTGTGTTCCTGTTTCCTGACCTCCCGCGTAACACGGCCCGTGAAACCCCTCCCGCCGTGGTGACCCGCGGCTGAGCTGAGCCCCTGTGGTAGGAAGAAACCCAGCCATGATTTAAAGGCTCCGAATGACAGGCAGACCTCGGGACGTTTGTCACAGGGGTTAATTCCCTTCCCGTGCTTCACTTTCACATCATTAAATCTGGTTCTACCTTTGCGATAGATGAAAGAAGCCTCTCCTGCTCCTGCCCTGTTCGTTCCCTGGAGGGGAGAGGCGCCGGAGAAGTGAAATTCTCCAAGGGCATGTAAGAAAACCTGAGTCCAAGCCCCTGCTCTGATGTGAGTGGGGTGTGGGGACTCGTGTCCTCCCCAAGCTGTGGCCGTGTCCCCCACTGCAGCTTTGCTGGAGAATGTCTCTCCTGCCCTGGGAGAGTGCTTGCCAAAGCCTCTTGCAACCTTCTCCCATTTGCCCACTACCTATGATGTTTCTTGCAGATTAATGACTTGTCTCTCTGTCAAAACTATAACTGGTCACCAGACTCTTTTTGTGAAGTGTACTGGGATGAGACCAGCCCACTCCAACATGCTCACTCTTCTCCAAAAGCAAAAGATGGCGGCTGTTGCATTCCCTGGGCCGGCCAGGTCCACGCAAGCTCTTTCTTTTATGTTCCCTTTTTGTATTTCACCAAAAAGGGATATTTGCAGTATCTGGTCATGTTGTTACTCAGTGTATAATTTAGATGTCTTTGTCAAAAAAAAAAAAAAGGAAATAAATTAAAATTTAGTAGAAAGACAACTGGTGTTTGGGGGTGATCCTTTTTTCTTCAGCAGGTTCATCTTCTGCCAGGATTGTCTCTTCCCAAGGAGCTTCCAGTCAGGTCACAAAGCTGCTCTTCCATTGCTCCAGTCACACCACCAGAAATGGTTGCTGGTACTAGAAGTGATCAAAACTGTTGAAGAAGCCTTTTTCCTTTGGATTTACAGTATTCTAAAACTATCAGAGAAGTCAGCCAGAGAGAAAGGGAAACTCTGGGAGGATCTTCTTTTTTCAAAAATTTTGTTGTAGGTTAAAAAAAGCATGTCGTGAAGCACGTTCTCTACTGACCTGGCAGGAAAAGGGAAGGGGAAAAAGAAAAGCAGCAAACTGTTTGGGTTTGGTTCAGTGAAATGAGGTTGGGAGGGGGTTAGGAGGGAGAGAACCAAATCTGTTGCTTTCCAACTAATCTGACTCATTACTGTTCCTGCAACACCCAGATGGGCCAAAAAGCAAGAAACTGTTAGAACTCTTATAAGCATCAGGTTCCTCCCTGCACAGTCACAGTCAGGATGCCTGGAAGGCTGTCAGAGCCACTGGAAAAAAAACATTATAGATGGTCACACTTACCTTCTTTTCTCTTTTTTTTAAGGCACGCTTTATACTCAGTCCTGGTATTTTTTGAGCAAAGTAGGAAATACTTTTTCATCTTGTTTGCCTAATGGATTGGATGTGAAAAATATTTCTCTGGCAAGTGAACACCCTGAGAGTTGTTTGACTTGTCACAGCATTATGTATCGGCCCCTGCGGCCCCCGGGCCCCGAATGGCTGCGCTTCCCCTCTCCTGCTGCTGTTTGGGGTGGGATGCAGTAATTTATGGGGAGGCTGCGTGTGACCTTGCGTGCGTCTGCTGGAGCGAGCCGCGGGTCTCTTCCCTGCACAAGCCCCACTTTACATCCGCATGATGAATTTAATGCTCCCGAAAGGACAAGGAACCGAGCGGATTGGGCATGGGGAGGAGGAAAAAAAGAAAATAATAATCTGCAGCCTGCAGGAGAAAAAAACACTGAGATTTTTGTTCCTCTTTGACCAGTATTTCCCTGTTTATGGCCTCGCAGCCCCGGACGCCTGCCTTTATCGGAGCAGAGGAGTGCTCTGTGGCCGCAGAGCCGGATATTTCAGCCTCCGTGTTCTCGCCGCGTTGGCATTCCCAGCCCGGCCGTGCTCTGCTGGGACACGTTGGAGCGGGGCAGCTGGACTGATGGCCACGGCCGTGCTCCAGCCCACCCACCCGGGCACCCACCCAAGCGCTGGCTGAAGCTTTTTTCATTTTATTTTGTTTTGTTTAAGTGGAAACAAGCTCGCACCGCAGCCTCGTGATTGGCTTCTGCCGAAATGGCAGCTTTGGGCTCAGTTGGCTGAATTTGGGCTTGTTGGATTTTTTATTGCAATCTGTTCACTTATTTCCCTTCCCAGCACCAATTGGAAGCAAAACTTCTAAAGCTGTGGTCAGGCTGTGCCCGTGCTGGGAGATGCTGTGAAAGGCTTGCTGGAAACAGCATGGGGTGGGGGGTGCCTCCTCTGCATTTCCTATGTATCTGTCTGACTGAGATGAGTATCTGTATAATTTTTAATGGGAAAAGGAAAAAAAAAATCACATTCAGAAGAGGAAGGGTTGGAAGGATCCTCTCTGCTTTCAACGTTCCATGACCGCCTGTCTCTGAGCTGCAGCCCTCCGAGCGGCACAGTCAGCCAGCCAAACACAGCCTCAAGTAAATAACCCTCAGAGGAAGGGGAACTGGCAGGTGGGTTAGGCCCCAAGTCTGAGCTGCATTAGGAGCTGGCAGGAACGCCCTGTAAGTAAATCACCTGGATGAGAGATATTTTTAAATAGAACATGTCCTTGCTGCTTGGCTTTGCAACATTTGTGCTACCAATGGGAGCCACAGCCTGTATGCTGTAATGCTTCTCTGTCTGGCAGGAGCTTGGGGTGCTGAGGGGGACACTGTTGGGGACACTGGGTTCCCCCCTGCCAAGAGCATCATTGTGGGCTGGGACACTGTGCTGTCCCCAGCCCGCGACAGCTGGGTCCCAACTGACAAGACAAAGCCCAGCGTCTTGGGGTGGCTGAGCCAGCTGTCCTGCCCTGGCTCCATCACCCTCCCTAATGTCAGACAGGAGGATTTATATGTATTTTGGGTTCATTTTTATAGCTGGCACCTGTGAGGCCAAAGCCAGGAAGGTATAAGCGAAGGGGCCTTGCTGTGAGGGGCTGTGTTGGTGGCAGGGGCATGGAGAGCTGCCCTGGGGTACGGCGAGATGGGCGTGGCAGCCTCTCTGCACCTGGGGACAGCGCTCGGGTCTGGGACTGGGCAGAGCGCTGGGCCTGGCTGGCGGCTGCTTTTGGAGCTGGGGCAGGAGCTGCAGCTCTCACAGCCCGGGGGGGTTGGGAGGGGCCCTGAATTGGGTGCATTCAGCGTGGCACAGCTGGTGTGGGCTGCGGGGCGGGGGGGCTGCAGTTGCTCCTGACACTTTTGCCTCTGAATGTGATGATAAACTCCCTTTCCCGATTAGCGCTGATCCCTCTGCCTCCAAAACAGTTGGCCCTAATGAACATACGGCCCAACAGCTGTAAGCGGTTATACATATGCATGGATATATATATTTATCCCCCCCCAGCCCATCCATATATACTGGAGATCACAGCTGTTGCTATTCTTCCTTGCAATGCAGATCAGACGCTCTCTCTCTTTGGAGTCTTACTTGACCTATTTTGCAGGCGCAAGATTTTTTGTGATGATGATTTCCCCAGTTGGTGCTTTTGATTCTGCCTGAAACATCTTGATTGAAGGCAAACAATGGCAGCTCCGGCAGCCGGCAGCGCCCCGCACCCACGCGCCGCCCCGGCCCCGCCAGCCGCCACGCGCCGGGGGGGCCGCACGGCCCCATCCCATCCCATCCCATCCTCTGGTGCCACTGCCCTGTGCCCTGGGACACGGCTCTGCCACCGGCCCGCCATCCAGGCCACCCAGCCTCGACCGTGAGGCTTGTCTGGTGTCCCCATCCTCTGCCCGCCTGCCCCTTCTCAGCCCTGAGCCTCTTCCCGCCAGCTGGAAACTGCTCCACCACCCCAAAATCTTGCAAATCATGGTGGTGATGTCCCCTGGGGTCCCAGCCATAAGACCAGAGGGGGAGATGGTGCCAGAGCTGGCAGGAATATCAAAACCCCAGTGGCTGCTGTGCAGCATCCCATGGGTGATGGACACCTTTGAAGTGCAGTCTCCAGTGACCCCCAGCCTCTGCTCACTGCTTAACACAAACTTTCGGGGCTGCGAGGGAGCCTCCCGTGTCCCTACAGCCCTCCCTGTCCACACAGGGTGCCCCAAAGAAGGGCCTCAAAGCCACCACATCCTGGCAAGGAAAAGCGGCCATCCGGGCGCACACAAAGCCATTTCTTGTTTGGCATTTTTGTTTGAAGTGTGTCCTTCATCTGGGTTTCTACAGCAACTGGGAAGTTCCTATCCTGGCCCAGCTGGAGGGAGTGAAGCAGCCAGGGGAACAGAGCAGGAGGGCAGGAGGCAAGGATTGAGGGCAGGAAGGGAAGAAGCAAAAAATCAAGTTTCTGAGAAGTGGGGCTGTATTTTCCACCTCCATCTTGGAGGAAAATACAGCAGCTGGGACAGGATTCCAACTCAATCCCTGCCCCTCTGTCTCCAGAGGCAGTGCAGCCAGCTGGGGCCAAATCAGGGGGTGTAAAACAAGCAGCTTTTAGGATCCCTTCAGGTAAAGAGTAGTCTGCTGTGTCCCACATTGGCTGGCTCTGGCATGGCTGCATTCTCTTAGCCCCTGTGCCAGCCTGGGTTAAAATGAAACACACTTTTCTAAGAAGAAAGCAACAAAACCCAATGAAACTCCAGTGGTTCATCTTAGGCAGTGAGTGTTTTCATTTATTCATTATGAGATAATACCCAAATCTGGCTAATTAATATTCCTGCATATTTTTCAGGGAGTGATGAGGTATCTTAAACATCTCGTGGAGATAGGCTTTCATATTTATAAGGTTGATGTGCAAACTTAAATTGACACTGTCTAAATATACCCTCATGTTTAAGCATGGGGCTTTCTCTCCCAAGGCAGTGAGGGCTTTCCTGGGGTGCACACCCTGGCTGGAAGTGGGACCTGGGGCTCAGTGGGTGGGAGAGCTGCCCAAAAAGGCTCCTGCGAGGCAGGGTGTGATGTTGTGTGATCCATCTTTCCACAAAGATTGGGATTTGTGTTTGCTTTGGTAGCAGGAACAGAGCACAACAGGCACTGACCCAGTGGGGTCAGCAGTGCTTTGGGGTGAAGGATCAGTGTGAGCACCCACACCGCCAGACGTGCTGACGGGCACCAGGCAGGGCCTGCAGCTTCCTGCAGAACCCTTCTCCAAGGTTAAAAATAGGAATGGGTTGAAAACTGAAAGCTTGGTTTGCATTCGCCCTCATTATGTTGATTGCTTATTTACATGTATGCAAATGGAGGAAGAGGCAGTGGCTCCTCCACCTGGGGACCCCTTGGCACAGGAGACCCTAAAGCCCACCAGGTAAATCCCTGCTGAGGGCTGGGCCACGGGGCTGTGGCCCCTTCCCAGGAACACCCTGAAAGCGAAGCATCAGCCCCTCTTGCCGTGCCGATCCGAGGGCTGAGCCTCGTGCCGAGTCCAGTGGCCAGTGGCACAGTGGTTACAGCAGACATTGCCCCCCCCACCCTGCTCCACCAGATGTGCGTGTCCAGCTCCAGCTGTTCCCCATCAGCCTCCCCCGTGCAGCACCGCCAGCTCCGGGATCCTTTTTCCACCAGGCCCCATGTCCTTCATCAGACACCAATTTGGTCTCGCCCAGCTGCTCATTTTTCTTTCCGCCGTGTGACATGTTTTCACCTGGCTCCTAATCCGTCTCTTTCCATTCACAACTCGAGCTGTTTATGGATGTGCCTCTGCTCCCCCTGCTCTCCCCACCCCCTGGACAGAGCCATCCATCAATAAAACCCCGCTGTGCCCCCGAGCCTCAGCGCTTCCCCTCCCAGGACACCAATATCCCAACAGCCACGGGCACACATTCCTCCTGCTGCTCCATGGGGTGATCCCATGGGGCCGTTGCTTTCCTCCTTGTCCCCAGCAGCACAGGGGGGCTTGATGGCACTGATGGTCCTGGAAGCTGAGGCACCCAGGGCACCAGGAGACTCTTCCTGGATGGGGGGCAAGAGAGGGGCTGTGGCCCCTCTGCTCGGCATGGGCACCCACTCTTTTGGGGCTGATCCCTCCAGTGAAGGTGTGGGGTGAGAGTGGCCCACGGTGGGGACGGTCCTAACTCTTGGGGGTCACCCTGCAGGGGGAGGCTGTGCTTGTGTCCCCCCCATAGTAGGTGACAGGTGCTTTAATGCCTGGGGTGGCAGCTGCTGCTGTCACAGGAGGAGGCTGCTGTGCCAAGGAGGAAGAGTTTGATGATGATGAGGAGGACAGCTGGGCAGTCAAACCCAGAGGCACCAAGCATAGGGGCCATGGCTGGGGAGTGCCCTGGAGTGGGGGGTGGCCCAGGCTGTGCAGCAGGGACCCTCCTCCACAGGGAGGGACATCACTCATCTCGCCTGCATCCTCATCACCCCAGGGCTCCTCTTTACCCCCCAGCAGCCGGCTCTGTGAATGTGGAGGGGAGACATCATGGGATCCGTGTGGGGGTTGAGAGCATCCTGCTCCCTTCTGCCACCCTGGAGTGCTTTGCTTTTGACTGAGAAGCAAACCCCCAAATATCCCAATGGACAGGGGGTTTCCTGAAGAGCCTGAGCAGGAGGGTTGAGAAGAACCCAGCATGACAGCAGGGCTGAGCTGCCAGGCTCTGCAGCCTGTGCGTACAAGAACACACAGGGGCAGGAGGTACTGGCCCCCGAACCCAACACTGCCTGGGAACTTGTCCAGGGTTGTGCTGCCACCTCTGTTGGAATGGAATGGGAGGAGTTAGTGAGAGGGTCCCCCTCCCTTGAACCCACTGTTCCCCTCTTTCAGCTCACTGAGACTTTCTCCCCTTCCCAGTTCCCACTAAAGTAGCACAAGGGGAATTCAAACTGGAACTAAACCAGGGATGTTTTGCAACCAAGGAAAAAATAAAGCAAGCTGAACCTGAAGAGAGCAGTGGAAAACCCCTCCTGCCTCTAGGACACTGCTCTGTTTTATGAAGTCAGCCTCATTTTCCCCAGATGAAGATCATCCCTGCACAGCCCCAGCCAGGCCAGCCCAGGCCCCACTGCACATCCTGGACAAAGGTTCCTCCTCGCCCTTCCCAGCCTTAGCTGGGCACAGAGGGTCCCCAAACCAGCCCGGGGTGCTGCCAGCACCCACAAAGCCCCAGGAGGCAGCGGGGCTTTAGGTGGGGATGAAGGCTGAAGGGCTGGGTGCCCGGACAGCAGCACGGCTGGAATGGTGGATTCTGGCAGGGTCAGGAAAGCCGCTGCTGTCCCCAGCCCAGTCCCCATCCCACAATGGGGATTGTTCTGGAGCCCATGGGCAGGATGCGGCCTGGCCGGCTCCGTGCCTGACTCACATCCTCGCTGCCTGGGAGGGAGCTGGTGGAGAGCCACATCTCCAGCACACCTTCCCACGGGGCTGGGACACGGCCTGGGCACTGGAGGGGACCCTGTCTGCACCTGGGACCCGCTGCTGCCCCATGGCCGAGCTGCTCCCTCCCAAGAGCCCCTCTGGGATCCCCCGCCATGGCCCGGGCCCTGCGGGACTGGGCAGCGTTTCCTGCCCAAAGCAGTTGGAGCCTCCCGCCGGAGCTGGCGTTCCCGGGGGAAGAGCTGCAGCAGAGCGAGGCATTTGCACTAAGTGATCACATTTATTTGAATATTTTGCGTGTGTGTGTGTGTGTGTGTGTGTGTGTGTGTCTAAAATTGGTTACAGAATAAATACCTGTGCCTTATAGCAGGAAGTCCACTTTTTTTTATACAAAGTGCTCGTTACAGGAAGTTGCATCAGCGATATGCAGGAGGGGAGTGCGTTTTGGTCACGCTTCCCCTCCTGAAAACTAGAACAGATTTTTTTTTTATTTATTTATTTGTGGCTTTTTGTAAAGTTTCTTTTCCCTTTTTTTTTGTGCATTAAATTTCCTGCCATTGTGTATTTACAAATCTCTGAAAGAAGGAAAAAAAATGCCAATATGCATGAGAAGTGGCCTTGTAACACAAAAAAAAAAAAATCAGCCTTTAAAAAAAAAAAGTAACAAACCCAAAATCTACAAGTATCATTTCATACTGAATCAATGATAGATTTTTTCTTTTTTTTTCTTTTTAAAAAGGGAAAGAAAGGGGTGGGGAAAGGGGAAAAACTGAACCAAACCAGAAAAAATGAACTTGGAGAAACGGAAAGAGAGAAGGTGCCATTGTCCCTTCTGAAGTTTTCCAAAGGCAGAGAGGAGCGAGGAAGAGCACAACGCACAGACCCAGATGTCCGACTGAAATCCCCATCAATTTCTTCTCGGTAATTTCTCCCTCGTGTTTACCCAGCGAGGGGCAGGAAGGACTTCCAAAATTAAATTAAAAAAAGGCATTAAAATGAAAAAAATTATTTCATTTTTAAAGGATTAAAAAAAAAAAAAAAGGAGATATGATAGAACAACAACCCTCCCCAAAATCCTGGAGGGGCGTGAGGCAGGGAAAAAAATGGGCTTGATTTAAAAGGGGAGGGGAAAAAAAAAAAAAGCCAAACCAAACCAGACTTTTCTCTCTGAACACGTCATCGAGCAGGACTCTCCAGAGAGTGTGACGGTTAACTGGTGACGTAGTGTTTGGCCGAGGGCTGCCCGTAGACCCTATAGAAATCCTGCCGCCCGTGCTGCTGGGATGCATCAATCCATTCCCTCACGGCAAGTCCCGGGAGCGACTGGGGCACGGCGGGGGCGGGCGGCAGCGGGTGCGAGTACTCCTGCGACGACACTGTCCAGGGGAAGTGCCCCGAGCGCGGGTAGGGCTGGTGCCCGCTGTGGTTGGACACCGAGGAACAGTAACAGTTATCCACGGAGCAGACGAGGATTTTGCGCCCGCCGTACTGGGAGAGCACGGACTGCTGAGATGACGTGGTGTTGGGGTAGTGAGATGGGTTGAAGACGGAGCCCGAGTGCACCGGCTGCGGGCCGCTAGGAAGTCCAACTATGTGCTGCGTGGAGCTACAAGGCACCATGGCTTGTGCGGACTGCCCCTCGCCGGCCGAAGCGCCCTGGCTCATGTACTGGCTCGCCACAGTCCCGGACGATGGCTCGAGGAAGCTGCCCTCGGGAAAGGCGGTGGAGTGCTTGCGCTTCTCCGCGCCGGAGTTGCTGACGGTGCAGGGGTACATGGGGATGCTCTGCAGGAAGGGGACGGGGGTGCTCAGAGGACCTGTGGAAGGGAACAGGAGAGGGGGATTGGATTAAGCACAGCGAGGCGCAGCTCCAGGGCGCTCCGGCCCCAAGACCCACGTTCCAGCCGCACGTGTGCAGTGGCAAACCATGCACGCAGCCCTGTGCAGGTGGACTTGCAGATTCAGTTTTGGGCCCTTGGCAGCGGGCTCGGAGCAGCCCCGGGCACTGCTCTGCAAACAGCTCATGAACACAGTCCCTAACAGGAGCAGAGTGGGACAGCCTGGGGGATAAACACCAATCCCCCAAGGAGAGGACTGGGAAGGCTCCACAGGACGTGGTTTGCTCCCAGGCATTGGCTGGGGGCTGTGGGACCATGCCAATCCCTGGCTGTCCCTGCCCACATGCTGACCCCCATCTTTCCACTGACTTTTCCTGGCAATGGCCAAACCCCCCAAAAGCTCTGTATTTCAGGGTTTTGTGTAACCCCAGAACACAGCTATTTCACAAGACAAGGAAAATGCCCTGGGGAGAGTCAGGAACTGGCTTGGTGACTCCTTGCTGGCTGCAGAGGGGCTCCAAGGGCTCCCTGCCCCAAAGAGCTCTCCCCACCGTTTTGTACTGGGATCTGCAGGGCAGCCAGCTACGGATACAGGAGGTAGTGAGGTTCCGTGCCCCTGCACCTCTCAGGTTTCACCCACCTTCCAGCAACTTCCTCAGCTGCTTCTCCTTCTTGGCAATCTCGTTCAGGAAGAGCTTGGAGTTGAGGTGGCCGATTTTGGGTGGGGGCAGGCTGCCACCTGTACAGTTCTGAGTTCTGTTTGGGATGGCAGGCAGAGAGGTGTGAGTTACAGGGTGAACTCAGGAGAGGGACAGCTCCTCCCCTCATGCACTCCTGGAGCCAAACCCCCTCCCCAGGGTAGAGGACAGAAGTGAGCTGGCTGTCTCTGGCAGGCAGGACCTTCCCTGTCCAGTTTTGCTTGAATGTCCCCTGCCAGGGCACACCTCCTGCAGTCCATGTCCCCACTGCATGGCCATCCCAGCTCATCTCTGCTCTGCTAGTGCTGCCTTTAACTCCCTGCCCTGCCTCTGCCCAGTGGAGCTGGATGGAGCTCTGCATCCCAACCCGGCTGGTCCCATCCTCTGCTCTTCCACAAGCACCACACTGAGATTCCCCTAGTCCACGGGGAGGACTCGATTCAATGGCTGCACGAGGGGATTTTTTCATCCTCACAGAGAGAGAGAGGGAAGCTGAGCATGGCACATGCCTCTTCCAAACCCTGTAGCATCCCTGGCCCTGGTCTTCCTCTGGATATTGTGCTGCTGCCACCCCTGTGGACATGAACACACCCTTTTCCCCAAACACGTCTGTCCCGCTGCGCTTACCTGTCCATTAAGATTTTCACAGACTTGGTGTTCTAGAAGTGGAAGGAGAAGCTCTGGTCAGTAAGGCCAATCCCTGCCATGGTGGCCATGCCCCCTTTCAGTGTCAGCTTCCATGGCCCCCCAGGAGGGGACAGTCTGACCATGGGCACTGAGCCCCCTTTCCCCTGCATGGGCTGCTCCAGCCCCATCTCCAGCTGTGGCACCTCCTCATTTGAGGCCAGCACTGAGCCTGCCTCACTTCTCCTTGACTTCTTCCACCGCTGAGCACTTGGGAGACATCAGCCAGCCCTGCCAATGTTGCCATCCTGCTCCCCACCACCCCCCACACATACCCAATTCTTCCCACACAACCAAGCCTCTCCACAGCCCCCGTCCCACCCTGGCATGGGCAGCTTGTCTTACCTTCATGAAGTTGATGTCCTCAGTTTTGTCAAACATGACCTGGACAGAGCTGAGGAGCTTCTTGGCCTCCTGCATGCGCTCATTGAGGTGCAGAACCTGGGCCGCGTTCTCGTTGCAGAACTTGGCCTGGGCCTTGTCCAGGATCTCCATGGTCTTCCGCAAGTCCTCATCCAAGATCTGGTGCATCTTCTCGTACTGCAGGCGCACCTCATCCTTCAGCTGGTTCACCTTCTCCTGGGGAGAAGAACAGGGTCAGTGCTCTGTGCTCTTTGACCTCTTCCTGGTTGTTCCAGGACACCTGGGTCCTTTCTCAGTACAGAATGCAGCCTGAAAGCTGCACCCCAGCTCTGCTCTCCAGCAACACCCAGACAGCTCAAACCCTGCTGTTAACACCCACATGGAAGGACTTCTATGTGCCAGAGACCCAACAGGGGCACTCTGAAGGTTTGATTGGTTCAGCAGATTCCTGGACTTACTTCCTGGGGTCTGTGTGGGGATCAGCTCCAGAGACCCAATCCCAAGGAACAACCTGCTACACCACCAATGGAAGTCTGCTCCCCTGAAAAATCCCATCCATCCCTATCTGCATGCCCTTTCCACCTTCATCCTCATCCTCAGCCCTATCCCAGGCTGGATACACTTCAAGTTCCAGAGCCTTTCCCTTCATGCTCTGGGAGGCCAAGAGGCTTTAAGGACCACAGGCACTCCCTTCCTGAGAAAGGCTGTGCTGAGCTGAGGCAGGATGTGCCATTTGATATTTAAGAGCAACCTTGTTCCTTGTCTCCCAACTTAACCCAGGGCCCATGAGGCTGCAGAGCAGCTCCAAACACTTATTTTATTCTCCCAAAATGATGACTGATGACACTGAAGTGGAGGCTGGAAGTCTGTCCAGCTACTCCTCCCGTGCATGCCTGCCTTCCTCCCTGCCCATCTGACCCCTGTGTCCCACGAGCTTGTCCCCATTGTGCCACAGGGGGACAGTCCCTGGGACTGGCCGTGGCAGGGTGAGGCACTGGTTACCTCGACCAGCCGCTTGTCTGATTCCAGCTTGTAGAGCTGCTCCTCGATGTCCTGCTCCCGCTCCTCCAGGCGGTCCTGCTGCTTCATCAGCATCTTCTGCAGAGAGGAGAGAAAGCAGCATTGTCAGAGCCCAGCGGCTGCATGTGCCAGTGAACATCAGTGCTGCCCACACTGGCTCTGCCCACATGGTTCAGGAGGGATGGTGCTTTTTCTCAGCAGGATGCCACTGCCAGGCTGAAAGCCCCCATGTAGCTTGTGGAGCTGGAAATTTGGTTATTTCAATGGCAGGAATGGCAGATGGGCTGCCTGTGCCGGGCTGTGTTATCAGCTGCGCTGTGTCCCCTGGATGGGGCAGCACCTCAGGTAGTTTCTGCAGCCTGGTCAGTGGGGTTGGGTCAGGGCCAAGCCCTGGGGACTGTGGGGGCACGCAGAGAGGCTCATCCCCCACTAAGGCAGTACCATTTGAGGCCCATCACCCATCGCCAGCAGGCTCCTGTGAGACATCACCACCTCCCTCGCGCTCCGTACGCCACGCCAAATCCTTTCTCCCTTCCCCGCCTCCTTGACAAGCCCCAGAGCCAGCGTCAGCGTAATCTGGAGGGACAGAGTGAGGAGGAAAGGAGCCTCCCCCTGCCACACTGCCAGCCCCCAGCCCCACTCCTTGGGGCTGGGCCTGGGCCATCCACCAAATAACTGGGACAAAACCTTATTCCCAGCTATCAGCCTCGCTCCTGCATGATTCCCAGCCTGGAGAAACCCACTGCCCATGAGAGAGGGGCTCCATCCCTGTGAGCAGGAGCAGGGCTTCCCAAAATACCCCTCAAAATCAACTCCAAATATTCGCCCTTCGTGTTTACTGGGCGGAAAAGCCAGGACACCAGCGGGGCGAGGAGAAGGGCTTCACCCGGCACGGAGATGCGGCGTTCGAGACTCAACGACGGGGGCGAGATGGAAAGAAACCGGCAGCAAGAATGAATTTCGAGGGGATTATTGCTATTATAAACCGCCACTCGGGAATTTATAATCAAGTAATTAATTCCTGGACGAGGCGGGAGGGGGAGGGTGGCAGAGGCGCTGCCGGGATTAATTGCATTGCAGGGAAAGGCTGTCACCTCCGACTCAATTCAGGAGCAGGAATGCAAAGCCTCCTCCCTCCTGTTGTTTTCCTTAAGGTCTCAGGCACCTCCAGCCTTACTGTAACTGGGCTCCTACCACTAATAATAACGAGGAGCTAAAAAAACCCAGCTTCCCACTCACAACACACTGCACATGCATGCCCAGGATGCACATGTGTGCACCCACCCAGGCCCATGCAGACAGACACACAGACAGCACATCCACTGAAACAGGGCTGAGGGGCAGTCACAGCAACGCAGACCCCCAGCCCACAGGGGGACATTTGCTGCGCATGCCTACAGAAACACAGGGGCCTGCAGCATCCGCGGGCATCACTGGAAGCATCCACACCGAGAAAGATTTGAGGCATATATTAAGAATCTCATTTTTTCATTGTAAAATGATTGTTATTTGTGCTGCTGCAGCAGCAGGAGGCTGCAGTCCACTCCCAGGTTTAACACGGTGGGAAGTGAGCTCTGGAGAGTGAGTGCAACACCACTTGCTTGAACCCTGGAGAACCAAGGGTGCAGGCAGGAACTGTGTCCTAGGTCCTCTGCCAACAGCCAGGCCTGAGTGTGGAGCTGCAGGGGGTTTCTCTAGGGTCTCAGGCAGGGTTTTGGGTCAAGCACCAGGCAGAACTGTGGAGCAGGTGGACAACTGTTGTATTGCACTAAACAGAAAACAGCCCCGTGTAGGTGGGTTGAGAAGTGGCAGGCAACAAGCCTGCTCCTGGGCTCCAAGGAAAGAGATTCCTTCCAACATCCCTGCTTGCAGGAGGCCAGTTGAATGTGGGAGTTGGGCAGGTCGTGCAGTGCAGGCTGTGCTGCTCACGCCCCATGCTGGGCAGCCAAAGGACACAGCGAGCTTTGCACCGAGCCCTTCCCTACACCTCCCTCCCTGCCACAGACTCGCCATCTCCACCACAGACAGCCAGAGCCAGCCCACACCAGCCCACCAGGAGGACAGCCAAGTCTAGCCAGGCCCCCAGGAGCAGCCCCATCCTCAGCCTGACTTCCCTGTCTGCCAGCTGGGACAGGGGTGGGTAAAAAACATAGGACAGGATCCCTCGCTGGGCACAGAGGCCAAATCCCCATCCCACTCTGTCACACCTATCAGGTATCTGACATATCCAAGGCAGACACTGCCCTTCTCCCTGATGCTGCTGGGATGCTGTAGCAGGGGAAAGCAGGGTTTCCCATCACTGGCAGATGCCAGGCAGGCAGAGGCCACCCTGGCAGCCCCACTGGTCTGAGGGACCCCCGAGGGAGGCACCGAACAGCCCGGACACGCACGTACCATCGCCCTGCAGCTGCCGTGGCAGAGCTGCCAACCTTTGTGTTTTGTAACAAACCTCAGACTGCTCCACTCCAGGAATCATGCAATTATGGGAAATCACAAATATACATATAAACATATGTAAAAATAACTTTATATATATATATATATATATAAAAGTTAATTTATGATCACCTCACAGCTGGAAAAAGTGACCAAAATCCAGCCTAAAGCCATAGAAATCAGACAAAATAGAGGATATGCAGCACTCTCTTTAAACCTCATACTTGATCCACTCTTTTTTTAGGGTGATTTAAAAACTGTACGTGCCTGGATTGCAGCGGAATGGGAGGGCTTTTCACCCACGGCAACAAAACCTTAACAAGACACAAGGGTATGAACTACCCCTTCTGGCACGGAGGGGCAAAATCTCATTGTCTATGCAGCACAGGCTGAATTCCTTAGGTATTTTGAAAAGGAAAATATATCCCTTCCCCTTCCATCCCCTCCCAAATCTGGCATTTCTGAAGTCATGAACTCCTCCTCCTCCAGGATCAGAATTTCTCGGGGTAATTTCTCATATTTCATGCATGACCTTGATGCTGGGAGAGCCGAGGCTCCCTCTGTCCAGGCACCCTTCCCAGGCTGTGCGCAACTCTGATCCCAGTTTGTCTTTTCCGAGACACGTCGCCAGTTTGCGAAACGCATACTAAAAATGCTTTTTATTCCAGCACCAGCTGAGAGTGAATTCATCTCATTAATTAATAAATTAATCGGTGGCTGGGGTAAGTGGCTGGTCCACCATGACCCTGTAGGCCCCAGTGAGACTGGGCTAGTGCATGGACACCAGCTTATTCTGCAAGAGATGAACATAATCTCCCCCCCCCTCATGGAGAAAAATGAAGTGTGGGTACAAAAGGGAGCTCCCTTTTGCTCCCATACAGGGAGCTTGCAAACACACCACGGGCATCAACTCTGCAAGGGAGCTGGACTACCAAAGGTGGAAGGACAAAGGAGGGGACACTACCATTCACTTCTCTTCAGGAGAGAGGGTGCACTCCTCCCCTGCAGGCAGAGGAGAGTGATTCCTGAGCACTAATTGTGGCAAGTCAGATGGGTTTGGGGTACCAAGGTCATGCACTGGGACTGAAACACAGCTTGGAAGGACATCTCTGCAGGAAGCAAAGCAAACACTGCAAGGTCTCATTGCAGGGAGGATGCACACAGCTGGTCCCCATGGGACTGTGCTGGGGGAAGGCTTCCTGACCATGGCTATCCACAGCACTTGCAGGGAGGAAATCACCACCAGGGAAACCACACCCTGCCTGCCTCGCCGTGCCTCCACCTTACTGCACCCCCTGCTCAGAGGGAGCGCAGTAAGGTGCAGACTATGCACTGACCCCAGCATGGGACACATCCACCCTGCCAGGCAGGGCATAGGGATATGTCTGCTGGGGGACAGGGCCATCCCAACAAAGAACTTCTGCAACATTAAATGCCTGCAGCCACAAGACAGGAAGATAGTAATAAAGAGTTTAGCAGCTCTGGCACCTATGCTGCTTATCCGAGAGACACTGCATGGCTGCACCACCACAAGCCTCAGATGTGTTACACACATGGGTCCAGCTCAACCAGCTGGGGAAACCTCCACTGTAAATGGGGGCACTGGGGTGTAGGAAGGAGCTCACACCCACCCAAGAAGTCCCAGGCAGGGAGCAGTCTGTGGGCACAGTATTTCCCCTGATTTGTCTTAGGCTGGTCTCAACACTGTCCTCTCCCAAAGGGCAGAGCTAAGCCTGTGCTCACTGCTGAGCCCACAGTGGATTATGGCCCTGCCCTGCCTGAGGCTCAGCACTCCCCTCATCTCCTCTTTGCAACCCCCAGATGCCCATTGCCCTGGGGCCAGCAGCAGGGCAGCAAAATCCCACGACATGTCCCAAGGTTTTGTGTTCCCTGAGGCTGGTCAGGGCCCTTGTGTGCCTCCCAGGGAGAGCTGGCAGGGGACAGCCTCTGGCACCCCTTCCCTGGGGGCTGGAGTGCTCACCAGCCCCTGCCCAATTCCCAGCAGGATCAGGAAGGAGCCTGGCAGCTTCACCAGAGGCAGAGCGGTGCCCCATGACCTGCTGAGCTGCTGTGGCTTTAAACAAGAGCTGGAGCAGTGAAAAGCCTTACTGTGTTCACAGGGCAAATGGAGCCCATGCAGCTTCTCTTGATGTCTAATAGGCACTGTGCACCCTTCAGGGCCGTTCACCTTGCAAGAGCAACCAAGTACCCACAGCCTGACCTGTGGGATGCTTGCAGGATGCTAATTCCCAATAAACTCTGCTGAACCTGTCTGTGGGTTTGGAGGGTACTACAGCAGGGCAGGTGGACAAACCACAGGACTGCACAGCTCTAATTCCCATAGGAAACTGGGGGAGCAGAGAGCCAGCCTGCCCCACAGAGCACCTTTAACCACAGCTGGACAGCTGGCCTAGGACAGGCACACTCACTTCTCTGCCTCTCTCCTTCCTCCTCCTCCTCTGCGCCCAGGCCTTCCCCTCGCCGCCAAATCCCAGCCACTGAGTGAATAAGGACATTGTTTGCAGTCACCGGAAAGCGAGAACGGAGGGAGCAGCTTGGAGCATGAGGGGCAGGAAGGGTGAGGAGGAGGAGGAGGAGGAAGGTGGAACCGGAGCGAGGAAGCTGCAAAGGGCAGATGCCTG